ATTCTACACCCAGTATGACGTGACCTAAGCTCTGAGCAAAACCCTAGAGTCGCCTCTATGCTGCCACCACCAGACCAGCTCTACAGAGCAATGATCGAGGTCTGGATCGATCACGCTAATTAATCAACCTTGGGGCTTGATCCCCACTAGTAGTTTATAACCTCGGAAACTTGAGTGTGGAGTTAATTAGATGGGGATGATGAATTCCGATCCGATGTTAGAATCGGCGCCCAATGCAACTCTGCCTCGTGTGGACCACGTGACCAGGACAAGTTTACACATAACCAAATGGAAACAATAAAATGCAAATTAATAACAAATTTAATTTATTAAGAGAAAACTAAAACAAAATCTAAATGTGTTCACTCCCTATCACTTTAACACTCCCTACTTGACCTGAATGGCAAATGAGAAGACTATTTCTATACATAACCATAGCAACTATACCTCTATGTTTTCCAGCTCTCGGTGTTGGGCTGGTCTTGGGGAGAGGTAAGATGTTTTGACCTCTCCCAGCTGCTCGGCAGATCACACTGATTTTTTCCTTGTCTGGACTACCCCAGACAGAGTATTGTATTGTTCCGCATCGCTTACCCAGTTACTTTAGCAAGGTTAAGTTATAACAATTAAACTCTGTTGTACTTAATTGATCCAGACTGGTTGAATTATTTTACTGAATTAAATTACAAACATCTAACGGCAGAGCTGTTCCCGATCCCCAAAATGGTTAATTGAACTTTGAGAAATACTAGACATGTCAACCCCTGATGACCTATGACCGCCGGTCACTCCGCCTTAAAAGTTAGATCTGATTCGTGACGTCACTGATGGTGACTTAAACTCAATAATTAGAATACTCTTGATATTGTATCCAGTACTATTATACAATACAATTTTAATGCAAAATGAATAAAGGCTAATTTTCTCTAAATTACTGAATACTATAGGATGATTCATTATACGCAGCTATGAACAAAGATGCCCGCCATTTGTGACTCAGACCTGCTAATTCCCAGGGGACTGGGCGTTGTTGAGAGGTCAGGTCCCTACTCGAACTTCTGGAACCTTCTGGAATAATTCTTACAACAGCCTAGTTTGTTACAGGACGACCATAGTGGATATAATACATGCTATGGAAATAAAATCCAAAAATTTTAGCCATAAATCTGGGAAGTTTAAAAGCTATGAGTACTAGCACTGTGTGTGAATTTTAGCTTACCAAATAATAATAATATTAATAGTGTGACTTGACTGTATTTTATATGTGGTTTCCGTCTTGATTTTGTTTTTCCTTATCGCAGGAACTGGAACTTATCTTCATAAACATCAAATTATCTGTGGCTCATTGAAAGACCTGATTAACATCAGATTGGAGGTTTGCTGTGTCCTCTATATTGTCTACTTTCATGAAAATCCTAGTGTATTCTGCAAATGATATAGTACTATAATTTGTTGTCTATATCTATGTCTGATATGAGGATAAGTAAAAGTACCCGAGCTTTTTCCTCAAAAGTCCCCCCATAAAAGTACTCAGTTCTCAGCCCCCAAAAGTACTTTTGGGGACTGAGCTTTTCACAGTACATGATTGGGATTTTACTGTGTTGACTATTACGGGTTCTGTTGGTTAGGAAGTTATAGATCCATCTCCCTATACCTTGCCAGTGATTCCTGTTGAGTGATAGTGGTCACGGTGAGGCTAATGGTGGTTATAGTGAGGGTGTTGGTGATTATGGTGAAGGTGATTATAGCAGAAGGTGAATGAGTGATGGTGAGTATTGGTGGTTATGGTGAGGATGATGTTAGTTATGACAAGGATGATAGTGCTTATGGTGAGTGTGATGGTTAGGGTGACTGATGGTGGAAGTCTGCATTAAAATAAGGGTTGTGTTTCCCAAAGAGTTTTGATGCTTACTACTGTCATGTTCATTTGGGCTATTGTAGAACATTTTCTGAGAGAGAGAGACAGAGACAGAGACAGAGAGACATACAGAGAGAGAGAGAGAGACATACAGACAGAGAGAGAGAGAGAGATACAGAGAGAGATACAGAGAGAGATACAGAGAGAGATACAGAGAGAGATACAGAGAGAGAGAGAGAGAGAGAGAGAGAGAGAGAGAGAGAGAGAGAGAGAGAGAGAGAGAGAGAGAGAGAGAGAGAGAGAGAGAGAGAGAGAGAGGGAGGGAGGGAGAGATGGAAGGAGAGGAGAGAGAAGGGATGTTAGGGGAGAAGGAGGGATAGAGGAAGAGAGATGAGAGAGAGAGAGAGACCCGGAAGCAGCCGGATACCCCGGATAGATGACATATACAGTATATAACTTATAAACATTTTCATCCAATAGTTTAAGTGCCTCATTGCAGTGATCTGAAATATAAACCTCTTATGTTTGATGATCAATAGTTTGGTCTGGTGTGGTGGTGGAGTGGTGGTGTGGTGTGGTGTGAGGTGGTGGAGTGGTGGTGTATTCACCTAGTTGTATTCACCTAGTTGTGCTTGCGGGGGTTGAGCTCTGCTCTTTCGGCCCGCCTCTCAACTGTCAATCAACTGTTACTAGCTACTATTGTTTTTTTTTTTTATTCCAACACCACACACACACACACACACACACACACACACACACACACACACACACACACACACACACACACACACAGGTAACAGGTAACAGGAGGGGTGACAGGTAAGCTTCTATCATGGATGAAAAATTTTCTGACTGATAGAAAAATGAGGGCAGTAATCAGAGGCAATGTATCAGAATGGAGAAATGTCACAAGTGGAGTACCACAGGGTTCAGTTCTTGCACCAGTGATGTTTATTGTGTACATAAATGATCTACCAGTTGGTATACAGAATTATATGAACATGTTTGCTGATGATGCTAAGATAATAGGAAGGATAAGAAATTTAGATGACTGTCATGCCCTTCAAAAAGACCTGGACAAAATAAGTATATGGAGCACCACTTGGCAAATGGAATTTAATGTTAATAAATGTCATGTTATGGAATGTGGAATAGGAGAACATAGACCCCACACAACCTATATATTATGTGAGAAATCTTTAAAGAATTCTGATAAAGAAAGAGATCTAGGAGTGGTTCTAGATAGAAAACTATCACCTGAGGACCACATAAAGAATATTGTGCAAGGAGCCTATGCTATGCTTTCTAACTTCAGAATTGCATTTAAATACATGGATGGTGATATACTAAAGAAATTGTTCATGACTTTTGTTAGGCCAAAGCTAGAATATGCAGCTGTTGTGTGGTGCCCATATCTTAAGAAGCACATCAAAAAACTGGAAAAGGTGCAAAGACATGCTACTAAGTGGCTCCCAGAACTGAAGGGCATAGAAGCATTAAATATGCCAAAACTAGAAGACAGAAGAAAAAGAGGTGATATGATCATACATACAAAATAGTAACAGGAATTGATAAAATCGACAGGGAAGACTTCCTGAGACCTGGAATTTCAAGAACAAGAGGTCATAGATTTAAACTAGCTAAACACAGATGCCAAAGAAATATAAGAAAATTCACCTTCGCAAATAGAGTGGTAGACGGTTGGAACAAGTTAAGTGAGAAGGTGGTGGAGCCAAGACCGTCAGTAGTTTCAAAGCGTTATATGACAAAGAGTGCTGGGAAGACGGGACACCACGAGCGTAGCTCTCATCCTGTAACTACACTTAGGTAATTACACTTAGGTAATTACACACACACACACACACACACCAGGAAGCAGCCCATGACAGCTGACTAACTCCCAGGTACCTATTTACTGCTAGGTAACAGGCTCATCAGGGTGAAAGAAACTCTGCACGTTGTTTCTCGCCAGCGCCGGGAATCGAACCCGGGACCACAGGATCATGCGTCCAGTGTGTTGTCCACTCAGCCACCGGCCCCCCCTGTAACCCCCTGTGGTGGAGTGAGTTGGGGGCATCTCGTTCATTGCCGTCACTAAGTACAAGTGCTTTACTGCACCACATATTCCCCTCGTGATTATACCAGGGTATGTTATGGAGAGTCTGCTTCAAGTTTTACACACATTAAATATTGGACTTTTGTATGATGTTTATATTAAATGTCATACTTTATATTAAATCTCATACTTTATATTAATGTTGTACTTTTGTATGATATTTAAGCGTGAGGTTCATACATTAAATGTAATGTTTCATAATTGAAAGCTGAATATGGTAGTGACAGTTTTGGGAATTATATTTGTTATATGAATTATATATAACTCCTTATAATGACTGATCATGTAATAATTATAAATAAAATATATATATTGCACAGTATTTATCATAGATAATAATTATATAATCCCCGTGTATAAGAGCGTATAATAATTTGCAGTCCCCGTGGCATAGTGGTAAGACACTCGCCTGGTGTTACTCGGGCGCTTTGTCCTGGGTTCGTATCCTGACCGGGGAGGATTTACTGGGTGCAAATCCTTAACTGCAGCCTCTGTTTATTAAACAGTAAAATGGGTACCTGGCTGTTAAATGATTTGGCGGGTCGTATTCCGGGGAACATAGGAATAAGGACTTGCCTGAAGCACTACGCATGCTAGTGGCTGTACAAGAATGTAACAACTCTTGTATATATAAATAAATAAATAAATAAATAATCATATAAGTTTCATGATTAAATCCTTGTTTAGTTAAGCAATTACTGAATGTTGATTGTACCCCAAGTATAATCATGCTGTTAATAATTCTTTGAAAATCATCATGTTTAATCTTTTTCTCATTATTTTAGACAGTAATTAGATGTTTCCACTATGAATATCATGAATTTCTTATATTTATTCTATGCTACATATTGGTATCTCTGTGCCACACATGTTGAGACGTGTGGGTCGTGTGAACATGTTTTAGGGAAGCCGTATTTTGTGTGTGATTACCATCCTGTGATGGTTTATTTCAGGTTTATATTGTTATATCTTTTAGATGAACAGTGTGCTGTGATGACTTGTGTTATATTGTTATGTTTCTTTCAGATGAGCAGCTAGAGGGAGGAGAGACTGGCAGAGAAGACTGTAAATCACCTGAGAAACTAGAGGAAAGCCCTTTGGACACTAATGATTGGGAGAAGTTAGACATTGTGCCAAGTGGGGATGTGCGTGTGCCAGTTAACGGACAGGTTGTACATTTACCAGTCTCCTCACACAGCCCAGTGAGTGCTACCGGCCTTTGCTTCGGAGCAGCTACCCCAGCTTCTGTCCGTGTTATGTTAAGTGGGCCATCCAAAAGAAACTTAATTATGCCATCAGGGGTGAACTATAGTGGGTCGTCACACAGAAGTCTGACCACACCACTAAGTGTGACATTAAGTAGCTCTACGTCCAATTCTGTAAAAAGTGCCAAAAATGGATTAAGTGGCCTTGGTGCCCATCAGCATGAGGCACCAAGTCCACCCTTGAGTAGCAGTGCCATAACTTTACTAACAACTGTGACCACCAGTGCCAATTTAAAAAGAGTGCCAGCAGTAGATGATATTAAGAAAGAAAGGGGAAAGTTGGACGATGACAGCAGTCGAGGGAAGAGCCCTGCTGAGTTGCCCTACACGTGTCCTGTCTGTCAAGAGCCTTTTAAATCAAAGCGATCATTTAATGCACACATCATTGTCCACTGCCAGGTAAGCACAGTATCCCTACATTGTTAACAAGTATTTTCACAATTTTCTTCAAATTAAGTCTTTTCTAGTGGGTCCTTTTAGGTTACTCAAGGAGCCACCAAGGGGTCCTTCATAAAGGCATTTCATTACTTTCAATGCTGCATCAAGTTGCAATAAATACACTACACTTTCCCCTCGTTGATTGACAGTTGAGAGGCGGGACCAAAGAGCCAAAACTCAATCCCCGCAAGCACAACTAGGTGAGTACTTGTTTATGGTATCTGACATGATCACATTATGTAATATTTAAACTGTGTCTACAGCAAATGAGTTTTTTTACCCCGTAGTCTTGGAGCTTTGAAGCCTTGGAAAGGGGAACACAGAGCATTCAGAGAAAAACTTGACATTTAACTCTAAATACTTATGAGTGTTCAGTTCTACCACCCCTTTTTTTATTATTTATGTTGTACAATTTATTATACAGTTACATATCTGATTGGTTACAGTTACATGTCTGATTGGTTACAAAAACTGAACATTTAGAGGAAATAAGGGGAAGTTTGTTTCCTGAAGGCTGTAGATTTCTTCGAATTCCTTCCGACGCCAGGCAGACACTGAGGATGCAACGGGCATTTTTCCTCTGGATTGCTACACTAAGGCGCTGGAAGAGAAAACTTGGTGCTCTATGGTCTCTTGTAGTTTCAATGAGCCTGGAACCAAGATCCTTAAAAAACCTGCTTGCACTCTCTTCCCATGGATCAAGGGGACCTCATTGGAACAAGGGTCTCAGACCTCATTGGAACAAAGTTGTACCATGGGGTGGTTCAAATAGCCTCGGCTATCACCTCATTATGTCCGGTCGTGATGGTCAAGTGGATTAAGGCGTCTTGTACATACCAGTTGCGTGGCATCTGGGAGTATGGGTTCGAGTCACTTCTGGGGTGTGAGTTTTCAGTTGCATATTGTCCTGGGGACCATTCAGGCTTGTTCGCATTTGTGTTCCTCACGTGTGCCCCAAAGAATGAGGTGATTTGGTAAAATGCTATGCCCAAGATTACTATCCGAGTGCCGGCGGTGGGGTGGTTCAAATAGCCTCGGCTATCACCTCATTATGTCCGGTCGTGATGGTCAAGTGGATTAAGGCGTCTTGTACATACCAGTTGCGTGGCATCTGGGAGTATGGTCTGGGGTGTGAATGAGCCTGGAACCAAGATCCTTAAAAAACCTGCTTGCACTCTCTTCCCATGGACCAAGGGTCTCAGACCTCATTGGAACAAAGTTGTACCAGTGGTCTATTTCCCTGTACAATACTTGATTGACTTGTCTCTTTCTCTGTTTGTTGCCGCAGCTCCTGCTTGGCCGACAGAGAGGTTGATGTATGTGGCTGCCAGGGTGGATATGCAAGTATGGTTGCACGCCAATTGTCTGCCAATTTTCCTAGGGCGCATATATATATATATATATATATATATATATATATATATATATATATATATATATATATATATATATATATATATATATATATATATATATATATATATGTCGTACCTAGTAGCCAGAACGCACTTCTCAGCCTACTATGCAAGGCCCGATTTGCCTAATAAGCCAAGTTTTTATGAATTGTTTTATGTCTACCTAACCTACCTAACCTAACCTAACCTAACTTTTTCGGCTACCTAACCTAATCTAACCTATAAAGATAGAGGTTAGGTTAGGTAGGGTTGGTTAGGTTCGGTCATATATCTACATTAATTTTAACTCCAATAAAAAAAAATTGACCTCATACATAATGAAATGGGTAGCTTTATCATTTCATAAGAAAAAAATTAGAGAAAATATATTATTTCAGGAAAACTTGGCTTATTAGGCAAATCGGGCCTTGCATAGTAGGCCAAAAAGTGCGTTCTGGCTACTAGGTACGACATATATATATATATATATATATATATATATATATATATATTAGTATATTTTGGTAGCAGTCTTTCCTGTAGACAATACCCTATTAAATACCACCTCACCCCATCCACCTCACTCAAATGTAGATATAAACAAATCGGAGATATGTAAGTTCTATTCAGTTGTGTATGTGTAAAGTCTTTGAAAATGTAATAAGTTTTAGGAAACGCGCTCAAGTGTCGCGTCAGACTAGAAATAAAAATGAATTTGGAGAATTGATTTTTGAATTACCTCCAACAGTGAAAAGAAATGTATTGCATATATATATATATATATATATATATATATATATATATATATATACATACATACATACATACATACATACATACATACATACATACATATATATATATTTATTGTTGAATATGACCGAAAGGGTAAGATAATAATTCTAACACGAATCTTCTCAATATTTCTTACGTTCTTCTTCACTGTCGAGGGCAATTGATAAATTAACTCTCCAAAATTCATTCTTTATCTCTGGTCTGACACTGGAACGTGTTTCGTAATGCTTATTACATTTTCAGAGACTTTGTTTACACATGAAATACATTCATACTTGTATTCGTTTTGGGTGAGGTGATATGGCACAAACGTTTTGGGTGAGGTGACAAAGCTATGACAGAACACGAATCTGTCGCATACATATACGGCACGCATAGACGAGATAAAGCACCTAAATTATTGGGATCGTCTCAAAGCTCTCCAAATGTACTCACTAGAAATGAGACGAGAGAGATACCAAATAATATACACATGTAAAATACTGGAGGGACAGGTCCCAAATCTGCACAGTAAAATAACAACGTACTGAAGTGAACGACATGAAAGAAAATGCAGAATAGAACCAGTGAAGAGCAGAGGTGCCATGGGCACAATCAGAGAACACTGTATGAACATCAGAGGTCCACGGTTGTTCAACGTCCTACCAGCGAGCATCAGAAATATTACAGGAACAACCGTGGACATCTTCAAGAGGAAACTAGATTGTTTTCTTCAAGGAGTGCCGGACCAACTGGGCTGTGGTGGGTATGTGGGCCTGCGGGCCGCTCCAAGCAACAGCCTGGTGGACCAAACTCTCACAAGTCGAGCCTGGGCCCTCAGGCCGGGCTTGGGGAGTAGAAGAACTCCCAGAACCCCATCAAGCAGGTATCAAGCAAGCAGGTTCTGTTTGGTGTCTGGGGAGTTTTTCATGAGTAGGATGGCCATTTTTTTTTTTTTGTAGTTTTTACTACAATTTTCATTATTTCCTGTAGCCCACAGAAAGTCCTGATTTACGTCTGATTGGAGGTTTGCCATGTCCCCTATGTTGTCTACTCTCATACAGTACTATAGGTTGTGTCCTTGTCTATGTCTGATATGAGGATGAGAAAAAGTACTGGAGCAAGCACAGTCCCCCAGGGTACTGCGCTTACATGCTCCAGTACTTTTTCTCCTCCTCATTTCGTACATAGACAAGGACACTGCCTATAGTACTGTATCATCAGATACATCATCAGATAGCAGATGACACTATGATTTTTATGAGAGTAGACAACATAGAGGACACTGAAAACCTCCAATCAGACGTAAATCAGGACTTTCTGTGGGCTATGGAAAATAATATAGTGTTTAACGAAGATAAGTTCCAGCTCATGTACTACAGAAAAAATGAAAATATAAAAACGGAAACCACGTACAAAACGCAATTAAATCATAACATAGAACGAAAAGGCAATTTAAAGAATCAGGATGTAATCATGTCGGAAGACCTTACATTTAATTTAAAGAACACGATAAAGTAGCTGTCACAACTGCAAGAAAAATGACAGGTTGGATATCAAGAACCTTTCACACTAGAGATGCTATACTGATGATGATACTTTACAAGATGCTAGTGTTCTCTAGAGTGGAATACTGCTGCACAATGACAGCCCCCTCTCAAAACTGGAGAAATTGCTGACCTGGAGAACGTACAGAGATCCTTTACTGCTAGAATCCACTCGGTAAAACATCTAAATTATTGAGACCGACTAAAGAGCCTAAATCTATATTCTCTTGAGCGCAGGTGGGAGAGATACATAATAATTTACACATGGAAAATAGTAGACGGGCTGGTCCCAAACCTGCACACAGAAATAACATCACATGAGACCAGAAGGCATGGCAGGATGTGCAGAATACCCCCGTTGAAAAGCAGAGGTGCAACAGCTACTTTGAGAGAGAACTCTTATCAACATCAGAGGGCCGAGACTGTTCAACACGCTTCCACTACACATAAGGGGCATAACTGGCCGACCCCTCACAGTGTTCAAGAGAGAACTTGACAAACACCTTCAAAGGATACGGGATCAACCAGGCTATGACTCATACGTCATTCTGCGAGCAGCCACGTCCAACAGCCTAGTTGACCAGTCCAGCAACGAGGAGGCCTGGTCGACGACCGGGCCACGGGGTCGCTAAGCCCCTAAATCACCTCAAGGTAACCTCAAGGTAAGGTAACACGGGGAAAGGCGGTGGGCTCGGAGAACTCAGTAGGGATATCATAATCCGGTGCTGTGTGATGAGGTCTGGATTTGAATGTAGGTAAGGTATCAAAGTCATTACTCTGTATATTTAGGCTGGGTCTTTTTTCTTTAATGAGTACAGTACAGACATAGCTTCCGGTATTTACAGTCTTCTCTGGTCTATGGTGGATGCCAGGATTGTTTTTTTTTCTTTTCTACTAGCATGTTCCTAGTGAGTGTTGTGTTATGTACACTTTGCATATGGTTTCTGGGAGGCACCAGCTACCAGAGGAGATTGTAGATGGCGAGTAAGTCTTCTCGAAAGTTTTGTGGTGGTCATACCAATATAAATAGATCGAAGGTGACAGCCTTCATTGGGGCATGTAAATTGGCATACGACGTTTTCTTTTTGGAGAGGGTTGTATTGTTTATTGGGGATGTTTTTAAGTGTTAAATTGGCAGTCCTTTTTGTTTTGTAGTAAATAATGAATTTCAATCTTTGGTCTGTGGCTGTTGGTTTCACGCCATTTGAAATTATATTTTTAATTACTCTTTCTTCAGTTTTGTATTGTGAGCTCATTTGTTCTCTGTTATACAGTACTGTACCATTTTTCTAAATATTTTCTGATATGGGTGTTGACTTCTATTCATGTACCCGTTGTTCATTAATAATTCAAGGCTTCTGTCCAGTTCCTTGTGAATGTGATGCCAGTTAGAACAATGAGTAAGGGCTCCGAGTATAAATGCATTTACAGTATTTCCCTAGTCTTATATCTGTCTGGGCATTCGGAGTGACCATTCATACACATTCCAGTGTTGGTGAGTTTTGTATAAACTTCTGGGTTTAGCATTTGTGGGCTCAGCGGTCGGGTCATACAGTTCTTAGTGGTTTATGGCTCGGGACCATTCAAGCTATCTTTTACATTTGTAGGCCCAGCACAATCCATGAGTACCTGGATTTTATGAAAAACTGTGCCAAAATTGCACTACAAGATCCTCTGGGGGTTTGTCAGTCATGGAGCTCCTGTTATGAGCTCCAGGATTGACAGATTCTTATAGGTGATCAAAGGTGAAGTGGTTTCAGTATTGTGTTCACTGGTGAGTGTGCTCTGGCTAAGCAGATTCGAGTCCTGCATTAGATCATAGAGTTCTTTGTGGTATAAATATATATACACCGGTATGCCAATTGCAAAGCACTTTCAACCTAACTTAACTGGGCCATCATCAGTAGCAAAATGACAGAGGAACGGGCAGTCGAAAGTATAAGAACGCAGCAGGGGAACACATGTTAGAAATAAGGGAAAGAGAGAGAGGGGAGGCCAGGAAGTGACTAGATGAAATGTTACACTTGGTAATCCCACAAATACAGTATACTGGTACAAACACTAGAAAAAGAGATAAGGGGAAAATGAGAAGACACCCATGAATAACAAACAGTCAGAGGGATCTAAAAGGTTTTCTGTATGCCCCATTTTCTATATGACTTTAAATGGAAGGCAGAAACGCTAATGTTGAATAACTTTTGATTCATCTCTGTCACACCGTCATTCCCACCCTGGAAAAGGTCTGTGTCACACCCTCCCTCCCATTTAAGCAAGGCATTATGAGCTAGATCGCACCCAATAGTCACCGATAGGTAAGCACCTAAAAATTATATTTAACACAAAGGCTTTATTGCAGCTGGTGAATGGCTCCAGCAGCACGTGTAAGCGTGCCATAGACCTTTCTGCTAGTCCATCGCCCGATAAAAAGCGATTACGAGAAAATGCATTAAATGAACAGGTTAGTGTGGCTTTTATTGTACAGTATAGGTGACTTGTGATCTTACAACCCATGCTCTTGTTTAAATAGTACTTTTTGTAACTGTGTGGCCCATTGTACATACATAGACGTACTGGACAATTAGATAGTAGAATTTGACACAGTATTCACTTTATAGAGCCCCAAAAATATAGCTAAAAACCAAACTTAAATATTCCTAGGCCTAGTATAGCACATATATGTACTATATTAGGTCTCAGATAGCATGTATTAGGCCTATGAAAGTAAGGTTAGGTTATGTTTTCTTTGCAACATCAATACAAAAATTTTTCTTGTTTATCAAAATTTAGTACCGATTTCTACTTTCTAATTGCCTTTTACGTCAGTATATGTATGATGGTTCTCATCATTACTATAAGCACTATCTAAACAGATCTGGATCTTATCATATGTATGGAACTGTGATCATGTGTATGGATCTATGATCTTACTTATAGAGCTGTAATCTTGTCATGTATAGAGTTGTGATCCTATCATGGCTAGAGTTGTGATCTATTACAGAGCATGATGTGATGTGCTGAAATATAACTGATATTATATTTTTTTTCAGACCATCCTTCTGTTTTGGTAGTACTTATAGTAACAATGAGGACAATAGTACTGTATATATACTGATGTACAATGAAATTAGAAAGTAGAAATCTGAACTACAGTATTGAGTTGGACAAACTGGGAAAACTATTTTTTTACTTGGGTTGCTTTGACAAGCTAAACTAACCTTTCTAGGTCTAATACACGATATCTGAGCCCTAATATAGTACATGTGTGCTATACAAGACCTAGGAATGTTTAAGATGTGTTTTAGCTTCATTTATTTCAAAAGAATTCCTCACTAGCCAGTACAGTATACTACTATCTAAAAGCTAAGAAAGTAGGAATTCTGACTATTGATGACCATCACAATAGGTACTATCTAAACAGGAGGATGGGTTGCTTTTGTTAGTATTTCCACAAAATCATACTCCTAATTTTATTAAATGATTCTTATTCCCTATTATAAATTAATTTGTAACTCACAGTTGTTAATGTTGAACATAGTGGTTCAGGTGGTAGTGCTGGTACCTGAGGAGTTTAAGGGGGGGCCGGTTCACTCTCATTGTACTCCTTCAAGATTTTCTCCTGGATGTACAGTATCGTATTCCTGTAGTATTATTAGCCCAATAATAGTACACAGCATGTACAGTATATCCACTCATATCTTTTTTCTGGTAACAGACATTCTAATTGTGTAATATACCTAACAGATGGAGTCGGTTCAACGTGAATTTATCGCTCCAGTGGAGGACATGAGCTTACCATTGGATTTAAGCTGCCGAGGGTCAATGGCAACGAGGAATTGTGAGAGACCGGCGGCATCGTCAACGCCAGAGCCAAAAGGGTGCATTAAAATCCAAGAGAAAGACGATGCATTCAGCCCACCGTTATCAGAACACGACCCAACAGAGACATTCAATCACTCTGTGCTGTCTGATCGTGGGCCACTAGAGGATGAGAATGAAAATTTAGTGAATGAAGCCCGAGAACGGGAGAAAGCATTTTTTAATATGGCTCAGAATGAGCAGTATTTAACAGAGGATTCTACGGGCTTGGATCCTCCCCCACCTCTCCCACTTTATGGTGCTGGGGGTGTTGTGAGACATGTGCGAGTGAGCAGCGATGATGGGCCTCCTATGGTGTACAGTGTTCGGCTCCATGCAGAGCAGGTATGGAAAACAGTTTATTACTGTATACAGTTACTGTACCATAGGGAAATTGGAATTAAAAGTACTTGTACACCAAATTTATGCTTGAAAATAAAAAATAGTGTTCCATTCTATACTGTAGTAATATGCATAATAGAGTATCATATATATTGTATTTGCCAGCATATAAGATGCGCCTAATTTACAGGAATACTTGGTGGTAAAAATTTATTTTAGTATTGTACTGTATGTTTCATCATACATTTATTGAAAGTAATTTTCAAGGAGTTTTATATGGAAAAACACACCATTTTGTAAGTGTAAACACAATGTGTATTCAGTTGGTGGTGGACCAAAAGCATGTGTCCTACCCACTGACAAATAGAGTAATCATTGACAAACCTCAGGCTACGTTGGTGATTGACCTCTCTTAATTCGCTTGTAAAGGTGTAGTGGTGTTGCTAGCCATTATCAGAGTTGAAAATGCACTGTTGTAACCGCTTCATGGTTCATTATCTTTTTTATTTTATTTTCATGCTCACTATCTACACAGGTGTTGGTGTCAAGAATCCTGGGTGTTAATGATGAAACGGGTGACAAGATCGAGCTTTACAAGTGTTTTATGTGCAGCGTTGCATTCCCATCAGTGTCGCGGCTACAAGCTCACCTCTCTCAACACAAGCAGAGATTTGTCTGTTGTAAATGCAGCTTCTCGTGTGACTCTAGAGTCCAGTTCTCTTATCATGTTCAGCGTGAACATCTCTCCCCAGCAGTTCAGTCTCGCAGGTAAGAAACTCTGATTATAAATTTAGATATACATGTATATTTAAGTTTTCAATTCTTAGCTACAGGGCAGTGAGGCTCAGCTATCTCTTTACTCCGTGCCAAGTCTCCTTGTTGTACCTGTTGTGTTATACATTTAACTATTGTGACATCTTGCTTTACTCAATTTGTTGAGAGCAAGAAGTTCTTGTCACGCTTAACATCTTTAAGTGTAATAAAATATTGTTCAAGTCTAATATTTTTTCAAATTTTGTTCGGTTAAACAAGACGGAACAGTATTTAAGAATGGGGATCAATAAAAAGCAGTTATTATTGCTTTTCAATTTTTTTTTTATTTAATAATGCATTTTGTAGTTTGTTGCACACCTAATTTAAATATACTTAGTCATTGTGTATTTTTTTTTATCATTTGCTCGCTATTGGACAAAATTATTGGGTGGATATAAATAGAAGCTTCATCGTATGGGCCCGGTAGGAACTGCCTCATATGGGCCCAGTAGGAACTGCCTCGTATGGGCCCAGTAGGAACTGCCTCATATGGGCCCAGTAGGAACTGCCTCGTATGGGCCCAGTAGGAACTGCCTCGTATGGGCCCAGTAGGAACTGCCTTGTATGGGCCGAGTAGGAACTGCCTCGTATGGGCCCAGTAGGAACTGCCTCATATGGGCCCAGTAGGAACTGCCTCATATGGGCCCAGTAGGAACTGCCTCGTATGGGCCCAGTAGGAACTGCCTCGTATGGGCCCAGTAGGAACTGCCTCGTATGGGCCCAGTAGGAACTGCCTCGTATGGGCCCAGTAGGAACTGCCTCATATGGGCCCAGTAGGAACTGCCTCATATGGGCCCAGTAGGAACTGCCTCGTATGGGCCCAGTAGGAACTGCCTCGTATGGGCCCAGTAGGAACTGCCTCGTATGGGCCCAGTAGGAACTGCCTCATATGGGCCCAGTAGGAACTGCCTCGTTTGGGCCCAGTAGGAACTGCCTCGTATGGGTCCGGTAGGAACTGCCTCCTATGCGCCCTGTAGGAACTGCCTCGTATGGGCCCAGTAGGAACTGCCTCGTATGGGCCCGGTAGGAACTGCCTCCTATGGGCCCGGTAGGAACTGCCTCGTATGGGCCCGGTAGGAACTGCCTCGTATGGGCCCGGTAGGAACTGCCTCGTATGGGCCCAGTAGGAACTGCCTCGTATGGGCCCAGTAGGAACTGCCTCGTATGGGCCCAGTAGGAACTGCCTCGTATGGGCTTGGTAGGAACTGCCTCGTATGGGCCCAGTAGGAACTGCCTCGTATGGGTCCGGTAGGAACTGCCTCCTATGCGCCCGGTAGGAACTGCCTCGTATGGGCCCAGTAGGAACTGCCTCGTATGGGCCCGGTAGGAACTGCCTCCTATGGGCCCGGTAGGAACTGCCTCGTATGGGCCCAGTAGGAACTGCCTCGTATGGGCCCGGTAGGAACTGCCTCGTATGGGCCCGGTAGGAAGTGCCTCGTTTGGGCCCGGTAGGAACTGCCTCGTATGGGCCCGGTAGGAACTGCCTCGTATGGGCCCGGTAGGAACTGCCTCGTATGGGCCCGGTAGGAACTGCCTCGTATGGGCCCGGTAGGAACTGCCTCGTATGGGCCCGGTAGGAACTGCCTCGTATGGGCCCGGTAGGAACTGCCTCGTATTGGCCCGGTAGGAACTGCTTCGTATGGGCCCGGTAGGAACTGCCTCGTATGGGCCCGGTAGGAACTGCCTCGTATGGGCCCGGTAGGAACTGCCTCGTATGGGCCCGGTTGGAACTGCCTCGTATGGGCCCGGTAGGAACTGCCTCGTATGGGCCCGGTAGGAACTGCCTCGTATGAGCATGTTATAATAATTTTTTTTACTTTAGTATGGAATAACTCTATCCTATATGATTTATTTCAGTTTATGATAAATATAGTATACAGTGTTGGGTTTATTATCATTCTCTTTTATATATATTAGGATACATTTACATGAAGCTAATTTTTGTACATCCCACAGAGATAAAGTAGATGCACGATGTGACATGAGCGACGACTCTAGTAGTGCGGAGAACACTGTCACTGTGGCTGCACTCCTATCAGCTTTAAGAGAAAAGGCTCAGGAGAACAGACCTCTAAATTTAACGCCAAAGGACACATACGAGGAGGAAGAAGATGATCACGGGAGTGAAGATTCATATCCTGTATCTCCTTCTTCGGAATCACAAGAAGCTGGAGATCTACAAGAAGGGGGCAGTGGAGAGGATCTCTTCAAGATGTACACGTGCAGGTTTTGTGGCAAGAAGTTTGATCGTGCTTTTTCCTGCAACCGCCATGAACGTGTGCATACAGGTTACAAACCATGTTTTTGCCGTGTTTGTGGACGGGGCTTTTCCGAACCGAGGAATCTCAGGCACCATGTCATTCGTTTTCATAGTGATGGATCCTTGCGCCATCTCATTAAGAGGGACAGGCGTAAGAAAGGTGACGAGGATTCACCGACTCCCTCGGTGTCCCCCGTACCTCTAAAATATCCTGAAAGTCGACTAAAGGATGTCCTAAAAGAAACGGCAAATAAGCTTATCTCTAGTTCGAATATTGATATGTCTGGACTCTCAGGGAAGACTAATGGGTTAGAAATTACACTTACTAGTAAAACACTCAGTGACACGGCTAGTAATTACGATGATGGTATCAAAAGAGGAGTGATTCGGTCACCCACCCCTCCACAAGCAGACTTGGCAAAGGAACATGCAGCAGGTGACGTTACGGCAGCAGTCACCACATACACTACCAACCTCACCAAAATTATTGCCGCCTCACTTGACAGTAAGTTACACAACTTTTTTTAGATACACTATTACACATTGTGTATTTGTGTAGGGTGTTCTTGTTATAAGCCACAATGCACTGTCTTGACAATGGAACTGAATCTGATGTATATAATTTGTTGTATTTAACTGTTACTTTTAGACTCACGTCATGTACTTAGTTGTCCCTAAACTCTATACAATATTACATATAAACCTACTTATACAGAAATAATGGTACTGTATATTTTTCTTTGGTTTCTTACTTCTATTATAATGTATCACTTTACATTTAATTTCCTATAACTTATATAACTAGATGAATATATTTGTCTACATATCTAAACTGTATATTAATTGAAGGTTGCTCAGCTAATGCTTCAGACCAACCTCCCAAGACGTTCCAATCCAAAACATAGCATCTTGGTGCTTTTAATACCAATAAAAGAACAAATCCTAAACAAAATTCATTACTTTTATTGACTGAATTGAAGATATCAAATGATTCTTGGGCATTAAAATAGTTGTGTAGTAAAATTCATTAAATTTTATTAATTGCTCACTCAGAAATTTGGAATAATGTAAACTGGGCTTTGCATAAATTGCTGTTCCCGCCTTCCTGGTGTGTATCAACATCCCATCAGCACCTGCATATGGCATTTAGATTGGTGGTAAAAGCTACTCACAACTTACAAAGAGAAAATGGCCAATATGAAGATGAGGAATTTAAGTACATATGTTACAACTTATAATTTCCTAGTACAGTACTTAAATGTGAATAAAGGATATCAAATTATAACTTCATCAGATTCAACACGTGGGAGCAGACGTCACCCTGTTTTCATCGACAGTTTCCGTAACGATGAACTCGAACCCGGAGAAATTAGATTGGACCGACGTACAAAGATTATTGATGACGGAGAGAGTGGACGGCGGTTGGTTATTGCAGATGACCAGTCTGACGAGAGCCTCGACCATTCACCGCATTTCTCCAATTATGCTCCAAGGTACCATACCTGTGTTGAGTGTTATTTGCTTATTTGCTTTTTGTATAATTTTTTTTTCTTTACATGCCTAATATTTCCAAATTTTTATGCTATACAGTTGAACCTCAGTTTTCGAATTTAATCCGTTCCCAGAGACGGTATGAAAACTGAAAAATATGAAAACCGAAACAAATTTTCCCATAGGAAATAATGTAAATGGAATTAATCCGTTCCACTTCCCCAAATATATTAACTAAAAAATACATATTATACAGAATAATACTCTTAGGTACCTTACCTTTATTGAGGACTTGTTGGTGTATGGAAGACAGTGAGGAAAGGGGAAGGAGGAGAGGTGTTAGTGTTTGGAAGCGGAAGTCCCCCCTTCCATTATAACAGCAGTGATGACATTTCTGGGATACTCTTTCTCTTACATTTTGCAGGCATACCACTAGGACCGGGTTGAGGTTCACTGCTTGCTTGTCTTACCAAGAATCTGTCAATAAACACTTGTTTTCCCTACATTTTAACACTTGTCTATAGTGAGACATCACATTGTCTCACTATGAATGCTCTCTTGTTTTTCTCCTGTTGTCATCCTCACAACTATTTTCTTAGGTTGAACATTACCACTGACTTTCTTGGAACCCGTGGAATGATATATAATAAGAACTCTTATGTTCAGAAACCAAAAAAAGCACAAAAAAATTAAATTCTTCACAAAGAATTCAAGTGCGATCATCACTAGGCGGGAGACACTGGTAAACTGAAGCACCGCTCGCTCGGTGGTCCCGTACGTGTATAAACAGACTCCGAACACTGAGGCAAACAACAAGTACCCAATCAAATTTTTCTAAGAAATTGAGTTCGAGTATTGAAAAATAGGAAAATCGAGATTGCACTGTATATTGTATGTTTATGATGCCATATAATAAATAGATAATATTTTAAACATTTTATTATTTATTATCTAAAACCTTCCTTTTCTATATTATTCACTGCTGTCTCTGGGCCAATGCCTTCCAATCCCCATGATAATTGGAATTATTTTCTTGAGCAATAATTCCCAATTGGATCCTTCTGGTAGAGTAGGAAGCTCAGTGCTCATAACTGTACAGTAGCAGGATCCTTCTGGTAGAGTAGGAAGCTCAGTGTTCATAACTGTACAGTAGCAGGATCCTTCTGGTAGAGTAGGAAGCTCAGTGTTCATAACTGTACAGTAGCAGGATCCTTCTGGTAGAGTAGGAAGCTCAGTGCTCATAACTGTACAGTAGCAGGATCCTTCTGGTAGAGTAGGAAGCTCAGTGTTCATAACTGTACAGTAGCAGGATCCTTCTGGTAGAGTAGGAAGCTCAGTGTTCATAACTGTACAGTAGCAGGATCCTTCTGGTAGAGTAGGAAGCTCAGTGTTCATAACTGTACAGTAGCAGGATCCTTCTGGTAGAGTAGGAAGCTCAGTGATCATAACTGTACAGTAGCAGGATCCTTCTGGTAGAGTAGGAAGCTCAGTGCTCATAACTGTACAGTAGCAGGATCCTTCTGGTAGAGTAGGAAGCTCAGTGTTCATAACTGTACAGTAACAGGATCCTTCTGGTAGAGTAGGAAGCTCAGTGTTCATAACTGTACAGTAACAGGATCCTTCTGGTAGAGTAGGAAGCTCAGTGTTCATAACTGTACAGTAACAGGATCCTTCTGGTAGAGTAGGAAGCTCAGTGCTCATAACTGTACAGTAGCAGGATCCTTCTGGTAGAATAAGATAACAAATTATAACTTCATCAGATGGAACACGTGGGAGCAGATGCCAGCTTATTTTTGCCAACAGTGTTCGTGTTCATAACTACAAAGCTGGCAGTCAGGATTCTGTGCTCATCATGCAAAGACAAAATTTGTTGGAGTGGGTTCTGAGACTTCTACTTCCCAAGCCCGGGCTGGGGCCAGCCTTATCTTGTGATAACTGATCTAGAAAGCTGTTGCAGCAGCCTGCAGGCCTGCATTTCCTGGTGCTGCTGGTCAGTACACCATTAAATGTACTGACCAGTGATCCATTATTTGGTTCACTGGTTGAGATAATCACACCAAGCAGAATTGCTTAGTGGTTTATAATGGTGCATAAACATGTAGATAGTTATATATAATGTGTATACAGCATAATAACAGCAAAAAGTGTCTTTTATTGTTATAAGAATATAATATGGTTGTCCATGTGTAAACAACCATATTATATGGTTGGATTCCTGGATTATTATATGGAATTCTTGTCCAGGTGGGATTCTTATGCATATGGGATTTTTGTCAACATGTGAGTCTTATCTACATGTGATTCTTGTTTATGTGTAATTATTTTTCAGGTGTACAGTAATTATTCTTCATGTGTGATTCTTGTCCATGCGTGATTCTCATTCGCATGTGATTCTTGTTCACATGTGATTCTTGTTCACATGTGATTCTTGTTCACATGTGATTCTTGTTCACATGTGATTCTTGTTCACATGTGATTCTTGTTCACATGTGATTCTTGTTCACATGTGATTCTTGTTCACATGTGATTCTTGTTCACATGTGATTCTTGTTCACATGTGATTCTTGTTCACACGTGATTCTTGTTTACATGTGATTCTTGTTCACATGTGATTCTTGTTCACATGTGATTCTTGTTCACATGTGATTCTCTTGATTCTCTTGCCTTCCTCCTCATGTATTGTCTTTCTTCAGACTCAACATCATACAAGAACCCATAGACAGAGACAAGGCTCTGATGCCAATCACTGATGACATAGGACGAACGTTCTTCGAATGTCCTTATTGCCACAAGCTCTTTGGCAGTACTTCTGATATGAACCGGCATCTGGACTTTCACGAAGGTACGTCCATGTTCTTGCTAAAGTTGAAGATTACACTTCATAGGTAATGATGTATCCAGAAAACATATACTGTATATATTATTGTTTTTGCATGCCTTATAAACTGTACTGTACTTTATATTAACCATATTTGTGAATTACATACACCATATTTGTCTGCAATAGGATGCATATTTTTGGTCTACCACCAATCCAACAGTGTATTGTATTTACATGTACAAAATCATGTTTTCTCTATAAAAACTTAAAAATTCCAAGTTAAGTTTTTGTACCCCAGATAAATATATTATATTGAAATATTGAATTTAGTGAAGTAAGTACTGTATAACAGTACTTAATGACGAATATATAACAAATGTGGTCATTTCTGTTCCTATTTTGTCATCCTGTAACCATGAAATATATTGAGTTTATTGCCATATTAGAGGCAGATATGTTTTGGAGGCAATACTAATGTGTGGAAACATTTTTGTGTGCAACAGATCTGAGGCCCTACAACTGTGAATACTGTGACTACTCGGCACGAACCAACAGCCAGCTTAAGGTGCACAAGATGCGGCACGAAGGTACCCTCCACCAACAGTTTACTTCACCCCGCTCTCTTTTGATTAATTATCATATTTTGCTGGTGTGGTAGATTGAGAACTTTGAATACATTCAAGCACTTGAGGCTCTTGAGTTCAGATTGCAATATTTTTAAGGGATGGAAACATTTTTGTTGTATAATTCAACATTTTTTGTTGATCAAATTGTTATTTTATCTGTCTTAACTCTTAAATTATGCAAGGGTTATATTATCTGTATGCCAATAGAAAAATATTTAAAAAAATATTTCTGGGGGGAGCATCTTCGGCTCCCTGGAGCTATCCAGGCTGATATGGATATATTAGACTTTGTCATCAGTCAGTGTGAATGGAGTTCTTAGGCCTTCCAGGGACCACGAGCCCAGAACCTGACCCCCTCCGAGAGGCACAAGGAACAATGGCCTATAGAATTGCACATGTGATTTGGAGCATTCTATGTCTGACATCGACTGTGTCTGGCACCCAGAAAGGTAAACACCCCAAAACAAACCTCTATTCTGGTTAAAACTACTGCTGAAAGCTAAATGAGTGGACAGAACTTCCCAAATGAAAACGAACAAATGAGCATGATGTCACATGTGCCGTGCCTCTTGTCTGTGCAGCTCCCCCCTCCCCGGGAGGGGGAAGGAGGTGCCCTAAACCCCTCGCGCTGGCTATCCCCACCTGAGTTCTCGGCTGATGTGTATGACACGGAATGGACTGTTGACGCCGACTCATTCAGTTGGCTCTGCCGGAAGTGAATCTCTTTGCGTTGGCGTGGTCGAGGTGTCTCCCGGTATATGTGGCGTCCTTCCCCGACTGCGAGGCCGTTGGGGTCGATGCCTTCAGGCAGGACTGGTCGAGGTGGGGCTACCTGTACCTCTTTCCCCCAGTTCAGCTGTTGCTCCAGGTTCTGGCTTGCTTGGAGACTTACCAGGGGAAGAGTTGTCCTCTTGGTCCCTTGGTGGCCAGCCCAGCCTTGGTTTCAGGCACTGCTTGCTCGGTATCCGAACCCAGGGATTTTCCCGCGGCTACGCCTCTTTCAGCAGCTTGGTCCAGTTCGTTACACGGCTGGTTCGATCTTCACCTCGAATCTTCGCGTCTGATCTTTTTGACCCGAGTCTATCACCATCTGTATGGCGATCAGGTGGCTTCTTTGATGGTGTCCCACTGCGTGCTTCATCTCGGAGGCAGTATGAAGTTTCCTGGCGGTCCTTCCAATTCTTTTTGTCTCTTTGTAGGTGTGCTTTGCTCTCTGTTAAGGTTGTCCTGTCCTTTCTCTCGTGGTTGTTTCGGGAGCTGTCATCTTATGCCCAATAATGGCGCCTCATATCGTGCAGCGCTGGCGGAGTCGCTGCAGCTTGCTATCGGTATTGATGTTACTTCTGTGTCATTTTGCAAGCTGTCTCGGGTGTTGTTACATCTCCGGCCTGCTCATGCGCCACCTGAGCCATCCTGGTCTTTGGACAGGGTGCTCTCTTATCTCTCTTTTCCCCTCGGGTTGTAGTGGCTCCTTCGGTTCAGGATTGTTTCTCAAAGGCTCTTTTCCTGTTGGCTTTGGTCTCTGGGGGTCGGGTTGGGAAGTTTCATGCTCTCTTCCGGTGCAGAGGTTTCTGCTCTTTTGGTTCTGGAACAGTGGTACCTCGGAATGGGATTGTCCCTGTATGCGAGGTTTTCGGAAGGCGAGGTGTATTTACTCCAAAAATTTGTCTCGGAAGGCGATGGTTACTTCGGGAGGCGAGTTTGGACGCGAGTTTGTTGATACGCGTACAGCCGACCTAGCGCGTTCGTCGCCCCTCCGCCCCTCAGTTTATTATTGTCTCGCGCTCAGTGACTACCCCCACATCAATTCTTCTCGCTGATTTTCAGTGTTTTGTTGGATTTTTGGTGATTTGTCTATACAATTTGTTATTATATACTTAACACTTTCGCGCTATCTGAACGCGCCGGCGCGTCCGGTTTCGTCTAACGTAAACGCATAGTGGACATAAAGTTATGTCAACTTTTAAAATATTTGTATAAAATTCAATTTTTATCCGATTTACTTTGGGTTTGTTTTAAACTGCGCGCTATGAGGCTCTCTTTCTCACCACTAGGCTGCATGGTACAATAAGTTCATGAAAGGTGTGGATAACTTCGATCAAATGGTATTTTGTCCCAAACGGGTTGCAGGTGGGTGACTTTAGCCGTTTATACTGGTAATGCTTCCCCCATATCATGTATTATATGCATATGTCTGTTTAGGGAATTTTATTCCGATCAATATACAACCAAAAATAACTGTGTGCAACAAGTATAAACTTGACAAACATAACAAAAGTAAAAACATTTCGTGTGTGTTTGACGCTCACTGATATGTTCCAGCGTTGTTTTATATTTGGCGCTATTCTAACTTACGCTTTGTTGATATTTTTTACCTATGGGCACATAGAACATTCTATTGCGAACACATTGACACAAAAATGAATGACGTACATAGAAAATTAATGTCATGAGAGTGAAATAAGTATAAACTTTCAAAGCGCCGTGCGTCGTCCCGTCACCGATACCGGGTAACAATTTCACCACTTCCCACACTCTTGCGGGCGGGCCGCAATCATTATTCTACGCTTATATTCATATCACCGTGTTGGGAATTTCATTGCGAGTCCATTGATACCAAAATTAACGCTGTAGAACAAGTGTGGAGGTGATTACAATCCCAAGAGTAAAAACATTTTGTTGCTGATGGGCGCTCACGGCGAGTCATCTTCGTAGTTATTTATTTGGTGCTGGTATCCCTATACGTTTCGTGACTTTTTTTACTGATGTTCTTCTAGAGAATTTTATTGCGAACACGTTGGTACCAAAATGAAATACGTAGCATGAGAACTAAGGTCAGAAGAGTAAAAAGAGTATACACATTTTTGTTTTTACGCTTAAGCGATAAAAACGCAGCGCGCACATTCGGTTGGCTGAGTGACCTTTGCGGAGAGCGCGAAAGTGTTAAGAAGAAAAATAAATTTAGAAAGAGAAGTGGTATCCATAGTGTTACAAGGCATGGGGTTATGTGATGTGATTATGGAAGGGGACTCCCCTTCCAAACAGTAACTCCTCTCCTCCTCCCCCTCCTCACCATCTTCCATACGCCTACAGCACTCGACAGCAAGGTAAGTAATAACTGGAACACAGTTTTGTAGGTTTATTTAGATGAATTAGGTAAATTAGGTATAAAAATTTAGTTTGATGTGGGGTTTTTGGGGTAGTCAGGAACGGATTAATTCATTTCCCTTTATTTCTTATGGGGAAATTAACTTCGGAATGCGAGTTTTCGGAAGGCGAGGCGTTTCCAGGAACGGATTAAACTCTTATTCTGAGGTATGCCTGTAGTAGGTTTGTCTGTTTGCAGCTGTCTTCTTTTCTGGCAAAGAATGAGACGGCTGCTTTCCGGAGGGGTCCTTGGGTTGTTGATGCTTGGTTGGTTAAGCTGAGGGTGCATCATGTGTTGTGTCCGGTTGCGGCTCTTTGTCATTATCTGTGCGCCACGGCTTCTGTGTCCAGGGACACGCTTTGGGTTGATCCGGTTTCCCTTCTTCCCTGTTCTAGGGTTCGGGTCTCCCAGGTCATCCACAGGGTTATTCGGTCCAGCCAGCCTGCGGTCTATCCCTGTGCCCACGACGTTCGTAAGTTTGCTGCACTTGCTGCCGTCTTCAGTAACATGTCTTGGGCTGACATTTGGGTGCGGGATTTTTGGCAGTCGAACAGGGTCCTAGCTGTGCACTACCTGGTCAATGTTCCAGGGCCTAATCGGGCCTGTGTTGCTTTGGGTCGGCAGTTGCAGCCAGTTGTCTCGACTTTGTGTTGAGGAGCGAGTACTGACTACCTCCAGGATAAGTCCCTCTTGCTTTATTCTTTTGTTAACCCTTAAACTGTGCAATGGTGTGTTGCGTAATTTGCTATAAATTGCGCATCATGTCACGTGATGTGTTGGAGTACTACGCAAGATTTAAATGGCCCACGGATACACGGGGTTCACCTCACCTTCATCAGGGCTCTTGTAAACAGATGCCATTTGTAAAAAAAATCGTGGGCCACATTCCCAGGAGTGAGGTCCTCAGTACTGAGAGAGCCACCAAGGCTGGCAAATGTAGCATGAGCTCACAGCACTGCTGTTCAGCTTGTGACCACAGCATTGCCTAAAAATGCCATAATATATATGTACATGCTATTATTTAGCGATGATAGTATTACAGAAGACCCCTGACTGTGATCAAAATGACCAGGATTCTGATAATAGCAAGATTGTTGTGATAATTAGTGCTGTAGTGGGAGGAGTAATCATGGTGGGGAGGGAGGTAGCGTTGTCTGCTGACTCTGTGTGACCACCTTTTACTGTCTGGACTCACTATACCAGCTTAGTTGTTACCAGCTATGGTGAACAAAACATGCAGATACGTATATATAACGTCTGTATATAGTAAATAAAAGCAAAAATAATATGGTCGGAGGAGGAGGGTGGCGAGTCAGGTGAGGAGGGTGGCGAGTCAGGTGAGGTGAGGGAGGGAGCGAGTAACAGCCAGTGGCGGGCTGCTACTGGCTGCCACTGCCACTGCCACTCAGCATACCAACTTAGTGGTTCGTTATGGTGAACACAAATGTAGATACTTATATATAACGTCTGTATATAGTGAATAAAAGCAAGAACAGTATGGTGGGAAGAGGATGTGGGTGAGTGAGGAGTCATTGAGTGAGTGGCGGTGAGAGGCTGACTGGCAGATGTGGTGGCCACACCTCGCCGCTTTTTGACTTGCAATATCAACTTAGTGGTTCGTTATGGTGAATAAAACATGCAGATATGTATATATATATATATATATATATATATATATATATATATATATATATATATATATATATATATATATATATATATATATATATATATATATATAACCTGTGTATATAGTGTAATACCCGACAAAGTATTTGTTTATTGTTTTATGAACACAATAATGAATCAATAATATGCTCACCATAATTTTGAGTACAGCAATGATTCACACATTTTATTATATAAATATATCACACGCTACACTATTGAATAATATTACAGAAAAAAAACGAAGAAAAATCAATCAGAAACATTGAAATAATTAGGTAATTATCTCTTTGTGGCCACTCCTGCCTGACAGCTGTAGCTGAGCAAACCGCCTCGGACGCACGCTGAGTCAGCGTCTGGGTTAGTATGCTCACCATAATTTTGAGTACAGCAATGATTCACACATTTAGGCGCAATATTATATAAATATATCACACGCTACACTATTGAATAATATTACAGAAAAAAAACGAAGATATTTTAAAAAATCTGACTGAATCAGCTGAAACTAATTAGGTAATTATCTCTTTGTGGCCACTCCTGCCTGACAGCTGTAGCTGAGCAAACCGCCTCGGACGCACGCTGAGTCAGCGTCTCTTTTTTGCCAGACTTCCCCGCCCTATAGCGGGCAAAATATGCCACTTACGATTTTTTTATTATTTTTTCCGTGATCAGGGAACACAAATTAACAGGTTTAGAAGATTTTTTTTTTTTATGCGCCTGTGGGTGACAATGGCCAAATAGCTCTTAGCAACACAAGGGCTAAGTATCTCCAGGAAGCCGAAGGGGCTCCCCCTAAGAAAACCAGCTTTGAATGTAACGAAACGCCATTTTCTGGGTGAGACCTGGAAGCTTCCTGGCACCACTCCCTCCCTCCCCCTCAGTCGGCAGTGTTTTTCGTGTGTTTTGACATCCAGCCTCGTAACTGAGGTGGGGATAGGCGGCTCAATGGGTCTGAGGCTCCCCCTTCCTCCTCCCAGGGAGGGAACATCTGCACAGACCAGCGGCACGTGTGACATCATGCTTGTTTGCATGTTTTCATTTAGGGGAGTTCTGTTCACTCGTTTAGCATTCAGTAGTAGTTTTAACCAGATCAGGGGTTTGTTTTGGAATGCTTACCTTTCTGGATGCCTGACTCAGTCGATAGCAGACACAGAATGCTCCAAATCACATGTGCAGTTCTATAGGCCATTGCTTCTCGTGCCTTTCTAAGGGGGTCCTCAGTAGGCCTAAGAACTCCATTCACACTCACTGATGCCAAAGTCTAATATATGGATAGCTCCAGGGAGCCTCTGGGTCTTGCCCAGGAAATAGCATTTCATTACCTTCAACGCTGGTTTTTTGTGTTTCTCTAGTGGTAAAAACCGTGCCCCTGGGCATAGGAAAATTATCCCAAAAGTCTTGTCACTTTTCAAGATGACAGATGTTTACTCGAGGTTAACATCTTAACACTTACATTCTGATATTGCCAAAATGAGTCATCCAATTGCTATTTATAAACATTTGTATATTCACTGCAGTCATGCATAATCTGTTATAAATACACTCTTGATTTTTGCAGCTTTTCTCCAAATTTGCAAATATTTTGACACTAAATTTATAGTTATAATCCAAAAAATATCTTGGAAAATGTAAAATAATTGTAAACAGTTTAAGCATTGCCGAGTGGGACCTGTCGAGTCTATGATTAAGGTCGGGAGGGTGCGGAAAGGCCGGACTGCCTAAATGTTAAGATGGTATGCACACCATGGGTTAAATATTTTATTTAAGATGATAGTCCACCACGAGTCGAACATTTCAAGACAGTGTGCACATCATGTTTCGAACATCTCAAGATGGTATGTACATCATGGGTCAAACTTTTTAAGATAATATGTACAAGAAACATTTTAAGATGCTATGCACATTCATAAATTAAGTTGCTCTTTGCACCATTGGTCGAACATCTCCCTGCAAACGCACACTGTAACAGTCCCTGTGAATTTCTTGTTACAACTTATAAGAAGATTTAACAACTTTATTACAAGTTTTTATGACATTAGAACAATGTTACAACTTGCTATATTAGTTGTTACAATTGTTAGGTGTTAAAACTTGCTCGAACGTTGTAGCAACGTCGTAGTTTCGTCGTGTGTTTTGCGGGCTTTGACCACTGTACGATGCTCACCGAAATATCTCGTTTGCTCATAAAGAAACCTGACTTGTAGGTATAGTATAGGGAATAGTTCAAAACTCCTGCGGGTACATGGGGCTCACATCTGCTTCCTCAAGCCCCCAGTAAACAAATGTTATCTTGAAATAAAATAATCTCCATCCCTCTTGGCTGTGAAAGCCTCAGTACTGAGTGAGCGAAAAAAGGGTAGTGCTGTGATGGATATGTGGGCTTGTGGGCCACTCCAAGCAACATCCTATTGGACCAAGCTCTCATAAATCAAGCCTGGCACCAGGCTGGGCTTGGGGTGTAGAACTCCCAAAACCCCAGTCCAGATGCAGCTGCAGGTTATAGCATCACTGTACAGCTCAGGGACATAGAATCAGTTAATAATGATGAATAAAATAAGTAACTGCAATTATTTTGCAATGATGGTGTCAAAGATGATCTTGACTGATAAAGACTATGTACAAGGTTCACTTATATCAGTGAACACAATGCTGATTAAGTAATGGTAATGTCTTCTTACAGACATAATAACATAGGATAAAAACCCACACTTGTGTATTTGTGAAATTTATGTAAGGAATTTACACCAAGTCTTTCACACTCTCCCGAGTACTTTGTCAAGGTCTGAGTGTGTTATTAGGACAAGATTTACACCTCAATGTCTTGATTAGACATTGAGATGTGTCTCAATGGTTCACTGGTTCAATAGAACCAGTGAAGAGCAGAGGTGCCATAGGCACAATCAGAGAACACTGTATGAACATCAGAGGTCCACAGTTGTTCGACATCCTCCTAGTGAGTAAGAAATATTGCCGAAACAACTGTGGACATCTTCAAGAGAAAAACTAGATAGTTTTCTTCAAGAAGTGCCGGACCAACCGGGCTGTGGTGGATATGTGGGCCTGCGAGCTGCTCCAACCAACAGCCTGGTGGACCAAACTCTCACAAGTCAAGCCTAGCCTCAGGCCAGGCTTGGGGAGTAGAAGAACTCCCAGAACTGCATCAAGCAGGTATACATGAAGCTCAATGAAGTCATAAGAATATGATCTATGAGTAAATATTTAGGCTGTATAGTGGGATTAACTACACACAGAAATCACAATACAGTAGCGTGATGCATCACATGAACAAATCCACAAGGGCCGTGACAAGGATTTGAACCTGCGTCCGAGAGCATCCCAGACGCTGCCTTAATTGACTGAGCCATGATATGGTATAAGAGTTGCAACCAGAAATTCTACCGAATACTTAGGCAGTGTCTGGAATGCTCTCGGACGCAGGTTCGAATCCTCGTCATGGCCCTTGTGGATTTGTTCATTAGTGAGATTAAGGTTGCATCCCTCGACTGCCCAGGCACATGACAAGTCCAGGGAGGCAGGTTTGATTTCATTGTACGACTGCAGTATTTCCTTACATGTGTCTAAATGTGCATCAACCTCTGTAATATCATTTGCAGTTTTCGTTATATTTTCTAGCCAGTTACCTGGCTATTAATTTTTAAATCAACAACAGAATTTATAGTTTAATCTTCCAAATTTTTTTAACATTACTTTCTAACCAACATATAGAAGAACTTTTACTTCTGCCTAACCCTTAAACAGCTCCAGCCACTACCTGTGATTACCTCCTGTGCTCTGATAGTTAAATGCACATTTTTTCATTGATTGCAAGAACTATTTTTTCTTGTGCCCCACAATATAGTACTCCCAGTTAGCCGAGTCATTTTAGGGATTAAAGTATACTAGTAGCTTTATGCAATGCCAGGATGACTTTTCTTCTTTCATCTTAGAGACTTGTCTGGGTAAAGCACCGCAATTATTGACATCCAAGTCGAGATCTATGACTAACCTGATTTTAAAAAAGGGCGTTACATCTTGGCAACTATTTAACAGACATATGAATTTACTATTAGGATATAAGAAGAAAGGAAATTGCAGAAGCTTTGGCCCATATGAGGCAGCTCCTATTTATACCCACCATTCTCTAAGTATTGATAACCATTAAGAAGCGTGAAGTAACTATTCTAAGGTTTCTACTTTGGTATTACTTGTCAGTTGATTTGATCACTCATAATGAGGCTATACATTTGTTTCAGGTATAAAATTGTATAGTTGCGACGTCTGCAATTACAATGGTGTAACTCAGAGTGACCTGAATAGACACAAGAAGACACAAAGTCATATTGCACGTAGCCAGAATGTCTGCTCCATGTGTGGACTTGGTTTCTATACAGCATCTCAGAAGCAGGTGAGATACTCTTTTACTTGTGCATTATTACCAATTTGAAATAGAATTTCAAAACAATTTGCATGGTTGTAAGACTACAAACTGTATTGTTTATACTGGTGTATTAATTATTTTTAAGAATTTAATGAGGCAATCTGGCCGCATAAGACATACTCAACTACCTGCTGTACAGTATTGGAACCACAACAACAATCCTTCTGCTGTCCTCTACCTCTCATGCATGCATGTAGAGGTCAGGGACAAGATTCACCAAGCAGTTATGCAAGCACTTACGAACGTGTACACCTTTCTTCAATCTTTGACGGCTTTGGTTACATTTATTAAACAGTTTACAAGCATGAAAACTTCCCAATCAACTGTTGTTATTGTTATCAACAGCCTCCTGGTGCTTCAGAGCTCATTATCTGTTTCATAATTATAACCAAAGCCGCCAAAGATTGAGAAAAGATGTACAGGTTCGTAAGTGCTTGCGTAACTGCTTCGTGAATCTGGCCTCCGGGATCTGAGTTCCATTCCACCATAAAGTTTCAATAGTTTTCTTATAGATCTATCACAAAATTGTGATTCCACTGTGCATGCTAACCTCTTCAAAAAGGAGGGCCAAGTATATCCAGATTGGTAATATTTTTCCTAGACCAATGACCGACCTTCCCCTAGATGCAACCCACAACAATTGCACCTATTTATAACTAGGTGAACTGAGGCATCAGGTGAAAGTAAGCATACCTAGTATGTCTGTCCTGGCTGGGGATTGAACCCAGATCTCTCAATTGTGAGGAAAGTACTGAAACCACTGTGCTACAGCTACTCTTTGTATTGACAGGTCCATGTGGTACAGTGTCACCCAGAAGTGGAAGGAGCATCATCACTGATTCAAATGAGTTTAGGACCTCCAGTTGCTCCACTGCTTTCGAGCTCGGAGTACTTTCCTCTCACCTCCACGACCCCTGCTAATGCTCCTCCTCCTCCACCTGCAACAGCAACAGCTCAATAGGAATCCAAGAAATGCAAAGCTGAAAGGTAAAAGCTGGAGAATGAGTGAAGTCATTGATATGACTAGTGGATGTGTTCCAGTGGTGTGATTCACTAACGAAAGAGTTCAAATGATGTGATCTATTATCGCAAGGGTTCAAGTGATGTGATCTACTATCGCAAGGGTTCAAGTGATGTGATCTACTATTGGAAGAGTTCAAGGCAAGTGGTGCAATCCACATTACATACAAATATAATTATTATCCACAGTTTTGTACAAAATATTTTTTAGGTAGAGGATTGCTGTGGAGAAATTCTAAATATGGATATTTGCTTGAAATACATTTTGTTATTTTGGATGTGATTGTTAAAAGTCTTTTGTATGGAAGATACACAAGTTATCTCTATTTAATGTGGCATTAACTTTATTTGTACGAAAATATCAGTGACGTGTACATCTGTCATAACATAAGTCAATAGGTTTTGGAAAGGTTATTCTTGGCCGTGGTGCCTAAAGAAAACATAAATCTAATTTGTTTTTCACCTGTATAAACAAGTAAGACTAGTGAAGCTTTTTAATGCAGCTGTCATTTTGGCCTGGCAGATTTTGGGCACATGATGCCATATTAATAGAATGAAAATTATTAGATAATGGAACTAGCTAACTACCACATTCCCTTAACAAGATACAGTGCATGTTTTCTTCAATGGGGTATAGGATGTAATCATGTTCATTTGGTACCCAAATCAGCTAACTCTACCCAGGAAGATGTGAGGCTTTTCAGAAATCTCAGGAGATGTTCTTTTGTAACATCTTTACCACTTAAAGCCCTAACATTGTTCCGGGGTTGCTTGACACCGCAGTATCACTGAACTCACGGCTTATTAGCTGATGGTTCAGTTCAGATTTGAGAACACTGATGTTTGTATTGGGCACACATGCTCTGCAGGTTTCATAGTTGGGCTCCAATATGAACATGCTGCCCTTGCCTGCATGTGCCACCCTATCAGCACAGGACATACTGTAACACATATTATGAGAAGTAGTTTTGTAATATAAAACCAGTTTATATGTGGGAAATTGGATGAGGTGTGTGATATGAAAGACTGTAACCCTTAAACTGCTAAATTCTGTAAAAGTCCTACATCCAGGTACACAGGACAAAAAAAGTATTGAAACCCCCATAAGGATCAATGTATTGCAACCTTGTAAGGATGATTCACATATGGCATTTGAGAAGTGTAAGGGTTAAAAGATGATGATGAGTGAATAGTCTTTAAGAATCTTGTGAATGACACACTAGTGAGAAGTTTTTTATCATTTTAAATTTGAATAACTATTCTTCATAACATGCTCATTTTGCTAATGGTTATTAAACAGGAAATGCCTGAAGTATGTAGTGTGTTAATGCTTAGACTATTAATGTGACTATTAAAACATCAATGAAAAGTTATGGGACTAGTAGCCCAGAATTTTATTATGAGGAAATGAAAATCTCTTCAGCAAGAACTAATGTTAGAATAACTTCGTACACATTATCAGGTAAGTAAATAGATTCACTGAAACACATTGCATATAATTAATTTCATCATGTGGGTGTTTGTCATAGTGTACAACCTATACTGCGTGTGTTTGTCAAGGGACACACACACACACACACACACACACACACACACACACACACACACACACACACACACACACACACACACACACACACACACACACACACACACCTGCACACCTGTGGTATGGTGTTTGTCGCAGTGTATAACCTTTAATGTGTGTGTTCGTCAAGGGACAACACACGTGTGCGTGCATGCGAGCACGCACGCACGCACGCACGCACACACACAACACACACAACACACACACACACACACACACACACACACACACACACACACACACACACACACACACACACACACACAAAACTGTGGTACCTAAAAGGTCAAATATCCTGTATTTACCTCACACCAGGATGTCTGGTCCATTTCCATGTATAAAGAGAAGCTGTACTATATACCTCTGATAAATAGATGTGAAATGAAACACGGAAGAGTGAATGAACTGTGGGTTTGTGCGCATGGTTTTGTACGCATGCAATATATGCTGCCCATCATGCCGAGTTGTACCCCTCGTTAAGAGTTTTGATCTTCATATTGTCCGTTTAAACCAAGGATTGTTAACACACTATACTATGTATTTCTTAATGACGTAGTCATCTTTTTATCGGTCCGATTAATCATTTTAACACTTCGTTTATAATGTGACTAGTTCATTTAATACTTCATTTAAAGTCAAGATGAAGGTCAAAGTATTTTAGCAAGTGGAACTAGTGTTGATGGATGCCAAGTACAAGTGTTTTATATGTTAATTGTGCTTTTGTGGTAGCTATGCTTACTAATTCTCAGGTGTCTTTTTCCTGGCAAAGTATTATATCACCATGTTTGACTTGATTTTTTTTTTTTAAATGTTGCCAAATTCACAATTTTAGATATCATTTACAGGTCAAGCTGGTTGATTTCAGCTTTAGCTGGTTGATGATAAGACTTGAGGATGATAATACCTTTTCAAGCAGATTTCAAAATTTCTAAACTTAGAACTTTCAGGCATATGTTATTACATTTAGAAACTCAGAATATACATAAAAAATATATATTAAAGCAACATGGTCCTAAATAGTGCAACACGTTACGTATTCATGTCAGCAGCCGTTATTAACTAATTATCATTTTTTAATCTATACAGATATACAGTAGTCATGAGTAGCTTCTTTAATTATATATTAATGGTATTATTTCAAATATATTTTATTCATTAACATTTCAGTTAAAAAAATGATCTTATTGAGGGTTTTAACATAAAAGTATTAATTGAATCTTGAAGTATAAATATAAAATTTGGGCTTTTATAATGCTTTAAAACAAGTATAAAAAAATTTGTGCTGCTTTAGTATTATTGATGGTTAATAAGTGTGGACGTAAGACGTGCAGGATTCTAAAGTCGTATTTAAATACATTGGAGTGCACTTGGAATTAACCTATGAACTTTATTCACATATTTCTCTTTTATAAATGTCCTCGAGACAAATAAATATGCAAATAGTAAAAAATATAAGAAGTTGAGGATGTAGAGTGACATCACGCGTGATGAAGCTACGAGCAAATGTTGAGAGCGTGCAGTGGGATGGAACTCTCATCCCTGGACTCCCCAGACATACCTTTATTGTGTCGGTAGCGAGTGTGTCCTGCCAGGGAGGCAGGTTCCTCCCATCGTATGCTCACTATTTTCTCATGTCAAGGGTCTGATGCATCTACAGTTCCTCTTACTTTAGTAACTACAGCAGAAATAAATTTACAGTGCATTTCCTCGTGATACTTAAGAGAAGAAAATATTATTACTCGGTACTTTATCCCTCGTTCATCATTTCAAAGTTCCGAGATTTGATTCTTCTGGGTTCTTAGACTTTCGTATCTTCCAGACTTTATTTTTTGTTTGCCTTAAGGCTAGATCTGAAAGACTTATCATAGGTACGTAAGATGTGTGTGCACAATTTATGGAAGTTAAATTTTTTTTATTAATATTAAAGCAGAATCTTTTTGTAATTACAGAATTGAAAATATGCTATAGTATTTTCTTAAAAATTTGTCTTGATTAACAGCAAGCCAGTCTTACCTACGGACATTAGTTTAAGAAATGTTGAGCTAGATATACCCACACCTGAGGTTGTGGCCTTTGTTCTCATGCTTCTCTTCCTTCAAACATTTGTTCATATCTTTTCTTATTCATTGCATTTGTTCTAATTCACATTTGTTTAGGATTTAAATAAGCTCTACCCCATTATTGTCTCTGATAAGCAGAATCTTGCTCCAAGCATTTGTATGTGGTGCTTTTTAAGTCTTTGTTTTAGTTCATCGTTATATTTGTTTTGAAATTGGAGATGAAGTTAGTCATTGAAAGCATTGTAAATTTAGAGGGAGACCTCTCTTGAGATCAAGTGTTACAATGAGAACCTAGTCAAAGGTATGTGATTATTGAAAAGTAATTGTTGGAAATAATCTTGTTAACACATTATGGAAATGACAGTGTGACTAAAAATAAGTGCAGTATCTTTCTTTCTTTCTTTCCTTTCTAACAAGAATGAAATTACCCTGTTGCACTACACCTATTGGCAATAAAGATTTTTATTCAAAATAACCGATTTCTACAAAAAAGTTTCATTAAAGCATACACACATCATATCTAGACTCTTCTGTTGGTAGGATAGATTTTAATGATTTGTGGATGGCTAAGTCACTTTGGGGTTGTACAATGTTCTGTACAGTAAAGGTTACATATTTTGACCATTGATAGTAGGCATCCATCAGCCTCAGGAGACTGATGGCCATTACTGAGGAGTAAATTCTCACTGGCCATGCAAGTACACTTCATTGAGGTATAGTAGCAGTTCTTTTTTTTTAAGTTGTTCCGATCCACTCATCAGGAAGTTTCATCCAGAAAGTAGAAGAGGTGGAGGAAAAAAAAAAGAGAGATGAGAGAAAGCAAAATTAGTAAAGAAGGCTGTAGGAGCACAAGGCTCAAAAAGTAGACTAAATGCCATCCCACTGGGCATCGAACTTTGACCCATCAGAGTGCACCATCGTCGCCCATCACGCCCCCTCACACCGGCAACGGGCTGGATAATAAGGGGTTAATGATTTAAGATTGTTTCAATATTCTTTAATCCTTGGATCCGAGTTGTGTTCTCTCTTTCTCCTTTTTCCGTCACATCTAAACTTGCCGTGTGAAAGACATGCTTTTGATGAAAGTGATTTCATCTCTGAATTACCTAACCTTTTTCTTGAGGTTATAATGCAGGAATATTTACCTCAATGCTAACCAAGCCCCATGTGGGTTGCAGCTTACTAGGCAGCAGCTGCTTTACAGGATAGGGCATCCTAGTCTAGGTTGTTGCAGTCCTGGTGTGGCTTGGAATGCCCCAGAGTTGGAGCTGAAACCCCCTTTTAATGAGATCTTGAAGTGTTTGGTTATGCAGACATGCTCAAAGTATGCGAGTTCAGTACATGAGGAAGTCATGTGGGTTTTATGCATCTGGAAGACTAAATCTTCACTAAAGTTTAAGAGTGAATACCACTATATTCAATCTTTTGGCAGAACCTCCTTAAGTCCCCTCAACCCTGTTTGATTTATAATTTCTTTCATTTGGTTTCTGTTAGATACTCTTACTGTATTTTCAAACTATGTAGGTAGGAAAGTGGAGAAGCACACCTCCCTTCCCCACTCAGTAGTCTACTTACATCTTACCAGTGGTATATATAGCTACAATCTATCAAGACAAATTGATAAGAATTACTGTTGCAAAATTTGTTTGTGGGAACTTGTTTCTGTAATTAGGTTACATGATCTTTTTGAAATCTAGCTGCTTATACATTGTAGATCATGCAAGTATTTTGAGTTATTGACACACGAAGGTGCATAGTTCATTAATTAACAACTGCAGCTTTTATGTATGTAATGTTGATCTAGGGTATAAATAGTTTATTAGAAACACAAGTCAAAGTGTTATGATCTATATATAGTAATATTATGTGCCAAATTATCAATGAATGTGTGCCATGCTGTTGCTATTTTCTTAAGTGAAAAAGCACCAAAAGTCACAATTTCAAAACTTATAGATTAACGAAGGAAAGTTGTCACCATTTACTTTTGACATTTTAACAGGCAAGTTTGGTACGTTTTTAAGGATGCAACAAAATTTCTAGCTTTTGATATCCAATGAATCTTTCCTTACTGTACAACACTTACAGTAACTCCACGTACAAGTTGTGCATGTTGGGATTGTGCTGTGCTACATGTCCACTGTGCACATGTTAGCCTCCACGCTGCCCTCTTACTAATGTCATCCTTGACAAAGGTATGCAGGAAATGGTGTCATTGGTTAACTTGATATACATACAGATTTACTTTCCTGAAAGTATGTAGTTTGGAGGTGCTTAACCAGTGGTGTAAAATTTGTTACATATAGATTTTTGTTATAAATATTTTGATAGTTTTCAACATAGTTGAGTAAAGAATATAGATCGGGCAGTAGAGGTTTGTTTTCAATTAAAATCCTGTTCCTTCTTTTAAGGTGATGTACAGAAGTAACACCTCTTAGTTAATGTTTTAGAACTTTAAAACTCTGCAGTCAGGTGTTACAGTCTGTGTAATAATTATACACATTTCTTTATTGGGGTTGTTCTCAGTATTCTCCAAGTGTAATACCGAGACATTGGATTAAGGAATGGTTTAAGGCTATTTCCTCGACTGTTCATTCCTTTCTGTGAACCCGATTTGTAAATACTACAATTACACTGGACTGCTTTGAATTATATTTTTGTTATTTTTCCTGGTGCTATGATAGTTTTTTCTTTTCCTTTTTTTCAAATACAGTATATGGTCATAATGACTCATATAAATAGACTTATTATTAGATGTTAAGACTAGACAAATGTCCGATTGTGATGGAACATTTTTCCACTAGATAGGTGCTGTAGGAATGTTTCTGTAGGCTTCTGATAAATGTTGCTAGATTTGAATGAAGCTATTGTTAAATAACATTCCATTGCCAGAATAATAATTTATATTTGTTTTAAATTCTATATCTTTATGGAGTAGTTTAGAGAGACGGAAGGTCTTGATACACTGCATCCTTCACACAGCTCTTTGGTAGAGTTTCCTGAAGGGAATTCTTTAAAGCTTTAGTTAAGGGTGCCAATCCTATTTCTTGGAAGTTTTGGCTCCATTAGCCACAACTCAAGTGTACAAGTAGACTTGTGGTACATCAGCAGGAATCACTTACCTCAGTGATTTACATTAATAATTGACTGAGGAGATTCTCATTGTAAATATTTTCTTACCATCAGAATTTTGAGTTGGTTATGTATTCAGCATTAGTTTGTTTTTCATGCTGTAAATCTGAAGTAAATTACACAATGCTGCTTTAGGTGTTTTTTTCTTACAATAAAATCTTTATTATCCAAGGGCTCAGGTACTAGTATTTGTCAACGTACTGCATTTCACGTTTTAAATTGTGAAAGCAGAACAAAGTACGTATGTATTTACAAAAATATTATCTAGGATAATGAAGATTTCTATTCAGTTATGTGAAGCCCAAGTAAAAGAAACAAATATTGTTTTATAAATAGAAATACAGTACAGTTGCTATTATGGACTAGAAATTTAATTCAGTCGTATATTTTGTGGCCAAAAGCTCCTCGCTTTGTTATGTAACAAGTGTGCTATGGAGTTTTACCTCTTATTCAGGGAAAATATTTTCCATGATAGAAATTTCAAAATGGACAATTTTTACATCAGCAGATGTTCATGTATGTCTTAAAAGATTCATTATTTTCAGGCTTATGTTGAAGTATAGTTGTTCCAAGAGCTTGTATGGGATAAATTAAAATACAATTTTCATACATGTCCGAGTACCTTCAATATGATCTTTGCAAGATGTGCAGTGATACAATTATTGAACATACAGTACTTCCAATGTCTTGTGCAAGTCTCAAGGCAAATCAATTTATCATACATTGCACTTTTAGTGTCAAAGATTTTTTTTTTTTTTTTGCAATATTTAAGAATTGTGTACTAATGCAACCCAAAGACACTTGTACAAGTAGTCAGTCCAGATAGTATGAATAATTATATTATTGATTAGTTACAGCACTGTGTCTTTAGGTTATCTTTAGATGATTTCGGGGCTTTTTAGTGTCTCCGCGGCCTGGTCCTCGACCAGGCCTCCACCCCCAGGAAGCAGCCCGTGATAGCTGACTAACACCCAGGTACCTATTTACTGCTAGGTAACAGGGGCATTCAGGGTGAAAGAAACTTTGCCCATTTGTTTCTGCTTCGTGCGGGAATCGAACCCGCGCCTCAGAGTCACGAGTCCTGCGCGCTATCCACCAGGCTACGAGGCCCCATACCCAGAAAAAATTTTCTGTGTGTACCCAGAAAAAATTTTCTGTGTGTACCCAGAAAAAAAAGCAAGTGGTGCTAATCATAACATTAAACCTGGAATTTTTACATTATTTTTAACCCAGACTGACATTCAAGTGTTGAGTTGCAGAAGCGTTCTCTATGGCCCCAAGACAAGACAAACTGTGATCGTGTTTGTGGAACATTGTGCTGCACGATTCCTATACACTACATGCTCCTTCATTTCCTTCAAAAGATTACATAGCACTTGTGTTAAATATTTGTCTTAACATGTGTTTTTTTTTGTTTTTGTAGTGAAGACAGAACTATATTTAGGTAATTGCCAACTGCATAATATTGACATTATTAAATTAAGTCATAAAAAGTTGTATGTGGTGTGTTAATGCTGCTACAACTTTAATTAGAAAGTTGAAATGTCTCGAGTGTTCCAGAATAACGGCCAGCACGTCTTTCTATCTGCTGACTGACATAATATTTATTTATGTGATTTATCAAACTTGTTTCTATTTTCAGACCTGTATATATTTGTATTTAAATATACTGTAATTTTACTCATTGTTTTCTGATAGTTAATTTTGTGCATTATATCAGATATTTATTAAAGTATTTTAGGTAACTTGGTGATGCTTGGTCTCGCACTACTGAGTTACATCCTGCTTTGAATGTCTTCTCTTTTGTTCTACTCAACTGTTAAGAGGTTTTAATATGTTTAGAATCTCACATCAGAATACATAGGTCAAATATGATTGTTTATGTGTAATTTAGTGCCATTATATTTCCTTGTAAAAGTGATCCTTAATTTGAAGTTAAGAGTTAGGAAACAATGACCTGGTTTTGTGCAGATAGTGGAGAACAGTTGTCTAGCATACATTGAGTCATTATATATTATATACAAGATATATAATTTATTCCATCCAGTGTATTGCATCATATTGTTTTATAGATAGCTTGTTCCTGTGAAAATGTTGTATGTTTGGCCATCACAGGAGCCCTTAAGTAGGGATGCTCTTAGTGTGATTTTGTTGCCTTAATCTTTGTAATATATAATGTCTCCAAAATACATCAATTGTTATAGGTGAAATAGTGTAACTTAGTACTAAACAAACATTCCGTATGTATTGAGATAATTTAATGTCCATAAGCTTTTTTTTTTAGTTAAATTATACAAGAAGTTTGATAACATTTAACACTAAATTAGCGGCGAGCAACGTTTCTTTGTTTCATTGAATACTCTGCGTCTTGTCAAAACAGACTTCTGACAACCTGGTGACTTATAAATGGTGCACACAAAAGACAATAAAAAGAACTCTGTATGTGTACACATTTTCATTTACCTTGAAGAAGCAGACAGTGGTAAAGATTGTATTATATAGGAAGGGGGGGGAGGTGGCCACCCTCCCCCTCTTATTTCTATATAAAGTTAAGCTTGTTCAGCAAGAGATTCTTCGTGAAAACTTTCTGCAAGAGTAATGTAACTTACATTTTTGTTTACAAATTTCTGACATGTTTCTGATTATACACTTATACAAATGCTGTAACTGATATTATTCACTTCATATACATCACAAAATCAGCCAATAAATTTATTACTTACCAAATTGCAGTACTATAGTTTAATATATAAACAGTTTCATGTGCCTAATAATGTCATTTATTTCAGGTTAGAGCATTAATGATATGTACTTGCTGATATGAAATAACATGATACCAAACTTTAATGCAATACTTAACAGTACAATATGTTTAGCTTTACAGTATCTACACAACTGCTGCAACAAGCCGAGAACGCACAAGCATGCAGTATTGGCTCTTTGGGCCCCAGAGATCTGGCATTACACTATTAAAAGAAATATAAATGAAGATTTGTAGATTCTGTGAAAACAAACTTGTTAAATATTTACCCATTTTTGTCCTATGCTCAAATAATCTATAATAATAAAAAAAAAAGATATCACAAGGTCACTCAATGCTACAAAATCTACGACAATGCATCACTAAGTTCTATCTGCATGTACAAGGTCATTACACCCAACTGTACAAGTATATACAGTATAGGAATAATATGTTATGGAAATATCTTTTCACAGATATTATATATAAACATAAGATAAAAAAACCACACATTTTGTTACAGCTGTGACAAATCAGTTTTATAGCTTTAAAAATTAGTGTAAACAAGGACATAGGCTGTGATAAGACAATTCAAGGACTCGTTAATTATATACAACGGCAAAGGCAAATGTTAATGTGCAACACTATAAACTATGCTAGAAACTCATTCCATATTACTAACCGGGATTTTGAATTGTGGATTGTATTTTTAGCCCCAATTAGCTTCACATTAAGTTGTTACTCAGATAAGCAACTCATTAAGAATGACACTTGCATGAACAATAAGCCAGAACTAAATGTGCTTTATATGTACTAACTAAATGTACTAACAAATATAGCTTTTTTACTAATATTACAAAACAGTCACAAATATTACTTTCCCAGCTTATAGTTATAGACAACTTGCAGCCATCTTAACATAAGCAGTTATTCTATTATACGTAACTTTATCAACTCTATTTTATTTTTAAGTTGCTTTATTATTTTAATACCATATACATTACAGTGTTTAAATTAAGTTGGCTGCCGATAGAAGTAAGTAAATATCAAAAGAAGGCACCGAACCGGGAAGGCTATGTAGCACCGGCTGCCCATTGAAAAATGGCAGTTTGTCACCTCTTGCTAATAAAAAACTTTTCACTGTCTTAATCTCTGATAAATTCACTTTTCACTGACAACCCACAAGTAATGTTTTTTTCAACCCAAGACAAATGGCTCCTTACACGAATAGCCCTGCTAGTAACAAATTATTAGTTTCCTAATTAAGTCAGGTGTAATTACAATACAACATTACAGGTTGACCTGATCTTTGCAAATAGTTGACTTGCTGTTTTAAATTAATTTTGTCCAATAGTTTCTATAACTTTAGTGACTGTGTGGAATGACACATGAAATGCTACTTTCACATTATTTGTGAAACCTGTGGAATATATCAAACAGTTATAATGAATACTGTACGATACTTTTTGAGACAACACTTTTGGGCTGGTCAGTCAGATTTGAATTTGTCAATAAATTAATGTATTCTTGTATTCATATTGTCACCCAACCACATCACTCATTTTCTTTACAGCATGTACAATTTGTGTGAAGGTTTTCTCCTGATGACTGTTAAACGACACTTCGTTGGGAGCTTCAGAAAGTAAAGCACAGGTTTCCTAGCCACATGGGGTGTACCCATATATGGTAAATATTTAATTAAAAGTTTTATTTACTCGAGGGCGGCCAATATCATTCTAATGCCCTCAATAAGGACAGGAAGCCGGCAGCTTTTCAAAGGGTCCCCCAATTTGTCTTTGTGATTTTATAGAGTTGGATTTTGAAATTCAGCAGGGTTTTGGCATTTATGGCTTCGGTGGGTAGGTAGGTAGGTCCATGGGTTTATTACCATAAAAAGTATCTTTTGTTCTCAGTCCTACATTGTGTCCTGTTAAGATTTAAACACTTGCTCCTTGCTTGTGTTACATTTGACCTTTTAAAGACGTTGTCTGGAGCAATATTTCAAAATTGTTCAGTATTTTAAAAGCTTCAATGAGATCAGCCCTGTCATGTCTGGTTTGTAGTGTTTAGTCCTGTGGCCCTCAACCACTCCTGGTATGCAAGTTGACTTAGCTCTGGAATGAGTTTTGTTGCCCCGGTGTTGAACTTTCTCCAAAGCAGCTGTCTGTCTCTGAAAATGCAACCCATGCTCAGACCAAGTCAATTCCATCCAGCGGTCAACCTCTAAGATGCATTCCTAAATTTTAACATGCTGTTCATTCAAAATGGAATTCTCAAATATAACGTAATATTTTATATTAGCATATTTTGCATATTTTAAACACTAGTTAGGTTATGTGTTCAGGTTCTGTTGGCAATTATTTGTATTTGTAGTAGGTGGGTGAAGCACTTACAGTGTTGTGGTTCGAACAAAAGTCGTCAGCAAAGCACTTGTTCCGAAAGTGTTTGGACGTAATCAGTTATGAGTCATGTGTAAACCGTTTTTTATTCATAAACAACAACGGTTTATGACCGTTATAAATCTTCACCCACTATTTTGGTGGGTGAATGGAATGGACTTTGGCCTTTGTTTATGCGGATGGACTGGAAGATGAGGTCTCCATACTTGGATACAATAGTCCAAATCTCTGGTGTGCCAGAGATATACAGTTGAATAAACACCTTTTCCTTTAAGTCAAAGAGTTGACTATACCTAGGATTTGCTTTGCCTGTTTTTTTCAGGCAAAGTGATTGATGGAATCTGACTCCAAGGTGCTTTTCTTCAAGCTGCTGCAAGGTAGTAATTTTTTATTTTTAATGTAAAAAAAAAAAAATACAAGGTCTTGCATTTTTTACATAAAAATGTATTTGCCAGTCTTCCAACCATTTATAGAGTTCATGTAGATCTTGGGGTAGATGTCATCAGCAAATTTGATGATGTGCTTTGTAACAGTCTCACCTGTGTAAATGATGTATATTACAAAAAGGGTTCCTCAAAATGGACACTTGTAGTACCCTTCTCACCACAATTCTCCAGTCAGATTCAGTTCTGTTTAGGACAACCATTTGTTTTCTTTGTTTTATCCGTTTTAGTACCTGCCATTTATTCCATGTGTTTGTACAGTAATTTCCTTACTAGTCTTATGTGGTACCTTGTCAAAAGCTTTGGCAAAGTCCATGTTTAGTACACCAACTGGAAGTCCTTTGTCTGAATAGATGTTACAGTTTCCAAAAATGTGAACAGGTTTGTAAGGCAGGATTTATATTTAACAAATCCATGTTGCATTGAATATACTAAACTGTTCATGTTGCGATGGTCAATTATTCCCTTCCTTAGGATTCTCTCCAGAAGCTTGCATATGTATCAAGTCAAAGAGATTGGATGGTACATTTCTGCTGAGATCTTTTTGCATTTTTTTGAAACTAGGTGACATTTGCACATTTTCAATCTAGAGGAACTATTCCTTGGTAGAGATTTTCTGAAAAGGAATTCAAGTGGTAAACAGCTTATCTGCCAAGTCATCGACTTTACATTGAATTCCATCCACACCTCGGGGCTTTTGAATCTCGTAGAAGGGTATTGACAATATTACTATATCACACATTATAGCAATATCTCTCAATTCATTCTCTTCACCTGCTTCAAACACTTGCATAGGTATTAGTGGAATATTGTATAATCTCTCTAGTGTGAACACTGATGTAAAGTATTTAGTGTGTTTGCTGCCTCTTATCATATGTTATAACCTTAGAGAATATATGGAATAAGAAGATTAAACAACCAAGGATTTATGAATGATATAATAAAATGGCTGACATTGTATTTGTTGCACAATTCTATGTTAATATTGGGGCACAAATGCAACAGTAAATAAAAGAAACAATTATTGTACAGTACTTCAGACCTGGAGAAGATTTTGGCGTGCTAAGACTGTGAGCAGTGGGGCGGAGACAAGGGGAGGGGCCCGCTTCTAATTATTTTGACGAACCCTGTTCAATTCTAAATAGACCTGATCAATACATTTCATCACAATACACCTTTAATAAAAATTAAACAAAACCTTTTGCAATAATGTTTCCAATCAATACAGTAATTAATAAAGCATAGAATGTGTTACATGTTTATTGTTCCATATACAAACTGACATTTGACCATTGTGGAAGGAGTTAAAGCCACCATACGTGCTCATTGACCACCTGACAACTATACTTTACCCCTCAATATGATCAAGGACTAAAGTAGACAAGTGAACACACTCCCAGAGGGGGATTACACACATTTTGGTTGTTTATTATGCACCCCATACTAATTATGCGAGCATTTTATTGTGCATTCCATACTCGTCCTGCGAGCAGTTCATTGTGCACCCCATACTCATCCTGTGAGTTCATTGTGCACCCCCCATACTCATCCTGTGAGCAGTTCATTGTGCACCCCCCATACTCATCCTGTGAGCAGTTCAATGTGCACCCCCCATACTCATCCTGTGAGCAGTTCATTGTGCACCCCCCATACTCATCCTGTGAGCAGTTCATTGTGCCCCCCATACTCATCCTGTGAGCAGTTCATTGTACACCCCATACTCATCCTGTGAGCAGTTCATTGTGCACCCCCCATACTCGTCCTGTGAGCAGTTCATTGTGCACCCCCATACTCATCCTGTGAGCAGTTCATTGTGCACCCCCATACTCATCCTGTGAGCAGTTCATTGTGCCCCCCATACTCATCCTGTGAGCAGTTCATTGTGCACCCCCCAAACTCAACCTGTGAGCAGTTCATTGTGCACCCCCCATACTCATCCTGTGAGCAGTTCATTGTGCACCCCATACTCATCCTGTGAGCAGTTCATTGTGCACCCCCCATACTCATCCTGTGAGCAGTTCATTGTGCACCCCCCATACTCATCCTGTGAGCAGTTCATTGTGCCCCCCATACTCATCCTGTGAGCAGTTCATTGTGCCCCCCATACTCATCCTGTGAGCAGTTCATTGTACACCCCATACTCGTCCTGTGAGCAGTTCATTGTGCACCCCATACTCATCCTGTGAGCAGTTCATTGTGCACCCCCCATACTCATCCTGTGAGCAGGTCATTATGCACTCCCATACTCATCCTGTGAGCAGTTCATTGTACACCCCATACTCATCCTGTGAGCAGTTCATTGTGCACCCCATACTCATCCTGTGAGCAGTTCATTGTGCACCCCCCATACTCATCCTGTGAGCAGTTCATTGTGCACTCCCATACTCATCCTGTGAGCAGTTCATTGTGCACTCCCATACTCATCCTGTGAGCAGTTCATTGTGCACCCCATACTCATCCTGTGAGCAGTTCATTGTGCACCCCATACTCATCCTGTGAGCAGTTCATTGTGCATCCCATACTCATCCTGTGAGCAGTTCATTGTGCACCCCATACTCATCCTGTGAGCAGTTCATTGTGCACCCCATACTCATCCTGTGAGCAGTTCATTGTACACCCCATACTCATCCTGTGAGCAGTTCATTGTGCACCCCATACTCATCCTGTGAGCAGTTGTACTAGAAAGATTACAAAGAACACGAATGGTCTTAAATCAGACTTCACCGGGTATTTTTACATTAATTACTCACTGCATTAATATACTTTTTTGCGTCTTAGTGGTTTTATTTAATACGCAACCTCTGCTCTTGCAAATAAACCACCATACAAGGTTATACATATTTAATGAATAAATTATAAAGACACTATGGCCTGTAACTTTGACCCGGAACCCGCCCCAGCCATACATAAAATATTTTGTACCGTTTTCGGACCAAATGCATAATGTTACCTTATTTTATATTATTCTAATGCAAACAGAGCCCCTTTTTTGGCGTTGCGGGCAGTGGGAGGGTGAGGGGTCGAATCTTCCACAAACTTCAACAAGGCTCTTTAAAATTACCAAAACTGTGCATGAAGAGTGGTTACGATGCAGCAGCTTAGGATGTTAAATTAAGCTCCATTGGGTTGGGTTAGTTTCAACTCCGTTGGCTAATTATCTTTGGAATACTTTACTCCCTTTTGGGTTTGTTCCCAACTTCTACCCAGTCCTACCTAGGTAAGTAATTATCAAAAGAAGGCACCAAGTAAGTAAGTAATTATCAAAAGAAGGCACCAAACCGGGAAGGCTATGTAGCACCATCAAATGTGCGGAATAATCAGAGGGCGCTAAATATCACCAAGGATGCCAATACGAGAACAGAAACGCATAAGGCGAACGATATCAAAAGTATCCGAGTCACCAAGAATACTATCGAGGGACAAGCGACCGCGGGGGACGGTCGGTAAACAAGACACACGCTCGTTCCGGAAGTCAGGACATTCAACAAGGATATGCACAACCGTAAGAGGGACAATGCAATTTGGACAATAAGGAGCAGGGCGGCGCTCCATCAAGTGACCATGGGTTAAGCGAGTATGGCCAATACGCAACCTCGCCAGAGCAGTTTCCCATCGCCGGTTACGGTGGCAGGAGGACGGCCACGAGGACACACAACCTTTAAGAGAACGTAGTCTGTTACCAGTAACAGACGACCAACAAGCCTGCCAACGGGTAAGGATGGAGGAATGGATAACCGGGTAAAAGTCAGAATAAGGAATGCCTATACAAGAGATGGGACAAGAGCGGACAGCTTCCCTGGCGGCAGCATCCGCACGCTCATTTAAAGACACGCCAATATGGCTGGGAACCCAACAAAACTCAACTGACTTAAATTTACTGTGAACAAGAAACAGCCAATGCTGGATCTCGACAACTACTGGATGAACCGGATTAAAGGACCCGAGAGCCATGAGGGCACTACGAGAGTCAACAACAACTACAAAGGAAGATTGATAACGAGAAAGCAGGAGACGAAGAGCATAGAGAATAGCATATAGCTCCGCTGTGAAGATGCTAGTCTCCGGTGGTAAGCGACACAAGTGTGATCAGGAAAAACAACAGAGTAGCCCACACCCTACCTAGGTAAACTGTCCCTTAGCTTCACATTTACAGTGAATAAATACCCCTTGGGTATAATACCTGTATTTTGTATTATTCCATGTATTGTGTAGCTGTGAAACCCGTCCTAACAAAGCGTCGCATTTTGACACTACATAAGCCCAAAAATTGTCATACTAGCAAATGGTAGCGGCTGAACACTTGCCTGCACAAAGGTGCAGGCAAGTGTTGGCACCACCGCCACTAACATGTCACGGCTGACAGCAAGACGGCTCCTGTAGCACTACTTGCAGCCTTACCCGTCAACTCATGATACCAGGTTCAATCCCCAGGCACGACAGAGATCGTTGGCCATGTTTCCTTTCACCTCATGCATCTGTTTACCTGGCAGTAAATAAGTACAAAGGAGTTGTGCAACTTATGGATTACATGATGGGAAAAGGCCATTTATTTGGCCAATATGAACCTCGCTAAGCCTAACAGCCTTCATGCCCCCAGACTGAGTAACCAAAATGGTCAATTCTTTCCAACCTCAAGTCAATTTTACCCACCTGCAATTTAATTTTGTAACTAGCTCATCAAGATTGTAACTTGCTTAGCTAAATGAATTGTGGGGTTCAGTTCCTGAGCCCATTATGTGCCTTTGTAACCCTTTCCACTACCGCCCACAAGATGGGTATAGGGTGCATAATAAATGAACTAAACTAGAAAGATCGCAGACAGCCCAAGCTGTAATTTAAATTAGAAAGGAACGAGTCTTACACAATCTTTAGTGATACTTGGCTGTAAAGTGGAGCGAGTCGTCCCCGTTAGCCCAACAAGTGGAGCGAGTCGTCCACGTTAGCCCAACAAGTGGAGCGAGTCGTCCACGTTAGCCCAACAAGTGGAGCGAGTCGTCCACGTTAGCCCAACAAGTGGAGCGAGTCGTCCACGTTAGCCCAACAAGTGGAGCGAGTCGTCCACGTTAGCCCAACAAGTGGAGCGAGTCGTCCACGTTAGCCCAACAAGTGGAGCGAGTCGTCCACGTAGCCCAACAAGTGGAGCGAGTCGTCCACCCAACAAGTGGAGCGAGTCGTCCACGTTAGCCCAACAAGTGGAGCGAGTCGTCCACGTTAGCCCAACAAGTGGAGCGAGTCGTCCACGTTAGCCCAACAAGTGGAGCGAGTCGTCCACCAAAAAAAACCAGACCGTTCTATCATCCAGACTCCTTAGACTATTCCCCGCCAGCATCCAAGTAAATAAAGGACTGAAGACAACCACACTACAGGGCCAGCACGTCCCACACCTCACTGAGCCACGTCAAAAAAATAAGCACCGTCCACCGGTCAGTCTAATTACCACAATCAACCACAAGCTTCCTGGTAATACGTTAGTAATGAATAAATATGTATGTTAGGCTAACCTAACCTACGCTTGGATCGTCGACTTGATTTGGCGTCACCAGCTCTTTATTTTCGTCTAATTTCTCCATAAAAAGATACTTTTTCAGATTAAAAAAAATTTCGTGTTGTACATTCAGCACCAACATTATAATGAGTAAATATCATTTATAATGTTGGTGCTGAATGTACAACACGAAAAAAATTTTAATCTGAAAAAGTATCTTTTTATAGAGAAATTAGACGAAAATAGAGCTGGTGACGCCAAATCAAGTCGACGATCCAAGCGTAGGTTAGGTTAGCCTAACATACATATTTATTCATTACTAACGTATTGCCAGGAAGGTTTGTGTAGCTTGTGGTAATTAGACGGACCCCCGTCCACAAGTCATAGCACCTTTTGGGTCTTTGGTAAATGGCACTTAATTATTATTATTGCTGTTAACATCAAGCCCCTGCTGCCAGTCGTGGCCAGTGGCAAATTAACGTGGCAAACTACCACAGTGGCAGTACATCACAAACTACCACAGTGGCAGTACATCACAAACTACCACAGTGGCAGTACATCACAAACTACCACAGTGGCAGTACATCACAAACTACCACAGTGGCAGTACATCACAAACTACCACAGTGGCAGTACATCACAAACTACCACAGTGGCAGTACATCACAAACTACCACAGTGGCAGTACATCACAAACTACCACAGTGGCAGTACATCACAAACTACCACAGTGGCAGTACATCACAAACTACCACAGTGGCAGTACATCACAAACTACCACAGTGGCAGTACATCATGGTGAATCAAACTACAAGTCTTCGAATACTCGGTCACAATGTGGCTGAGGACGAGTCGCTCAACCAACAAATCTTGAAATATAGGAACCGACTTCATAATGGTCCGGGACAGACAGAAACACCATGAAATCCTTTATTTTCAGATTCGTGGGATGGGTGTTTAAGCTCTGAACATTTGACATGTAAATTAACAAAACATTTGGGAGTTTAATTATACTTCACAAGCATTCTAGTTCCTGCGGGAACAGGGTAATTTGGTCCATATTGACACGCATGACACTCAGGGGTTAACTATAGTATTAGACAAGAATTACAGGAAGTTAATTACATCAATACGACAAACAAATTTAACAATTCATAAATACATGCTAAACATTAAATACAAAAATATCTACTTTAGTCACTAGTCTAAAACAGCGTACCAGTGGTCGTATGAATTATCCTTACAATGACCAAGTCTAAATATACATTAAAGGCTGTCACTAAAACAAGGCTAAATTATACATTTTGCTAAATACTCGCTTAATCTCTATATAGTGAATGACTAAGCTTTATATGCTGGTATATAATATACAAAAATTAATAATTCATAACTGATTATGTAGATACTAGTGGAGTGACTGACAAGTTGTATAGCAAAGACACTGCAGTACAACATACACAAGTACACCATGTATATGTTCCTGAAGGTTACGTGGAAACAACTGGAATGACTGTTTGCTACAGTGAAAGAAAGAAAGAAAGAAAAGTATTAACCATATTACAGGATAACAAATCCGGATTAGCTGCATGTTCTGGCTTGACGCCATCCGGACCCACCGACACCCATCACTCATAACTTGTACTCATAACTCCTATAGCACCAGATTCACCGCTCACAAACCCACCTCCGCCTGCAGGCACAATAATGCCCATGGAATTTCTGGACAGAGACTCGGCTGGGAAAGAGGTACTTTACATGGTCCTTGTGACTAGTTTTGAATGCATCTCGGCCGAGTGTGTTTGGTGCATGAAGTGACCAGCGGAGGTGGAAGGAGTCGGAGGTGGTCAGGTCACGTGTGGTACAGGGGCGTCTACTGGCATGTCAGTGACAGGTCAGGGTGTTTTGTCATGCCTCGGTGACTGGCAGTAGACGTAGGGAAGTCCCCAGGTCCGGCGCGGCCAGTAGCGCAGCTCGGGACGGGACTCTGGGACGTCCTGCGTGGCGTGGAAGTAGCAGAAGAGGACCTGCATTGAGTAGGCGGTGATGAAGATGAGGACGTGCCACAGGCCGTGCAGGACTGTCAGGTCCAGCGCCTGCCACATGGCACACATGAAACGGTCACAGATCCAAGATGTGGCGGCCAAGACCAGGGCGGCCAAGGTGACCTTGCCCAGGCGGACCACACTGACCTCTCGCGACACCCTCAGCTCCACTACCAGCATCGCCACCGCTGGCAAACCCACCATGAAGAGTGCATAGGCGTTGACGGCGGGCTGCACGAAGGCCGACGCTGTGATCAGTACAGATATAAGCGCCATAAATGCTGCGTAAAGGTGCTGATTGGAGCGCAGGAACTTGGGGCGGTAGCGGATGGGCGTGAAGAGTGTATAGGAGACCATCAACACCCACAAGATGGAGAGTTCGTCCAGCAGTTGTCCCAGGAGGGAGAGAGTAGCGTGGAAGTAGGCCGAGGACAGGCCTATCACCACGAAGAACACCCACACAACGTGTATACCGCGAGAAACGTGCCGCGCGTAGCTGGCCCAGAGCTTGGTGCAGGCGGCGGGCACCAGCAGGAAGACAACGTTGGTGACCGTGTTGACGAACTCTGCGATGTGCGGCGTCACCGTGTAGTTGCCTTCACACCAGTCCACGGGAGACGTGCCGGGACCCGTCCACCGCAACACCACTCCCTCAGCCGCCGTCATCCTTCCAAAACCTGCAACACACAATGAAGTCCATAATTTTGTCACCGTGCATGCGCATATATGTGTGTGTGTGTGTGTGTGTGTGTGTGTGTGTGTGTGTGTGTGTGTGTGTGTGTGTGTGTGTGTGTGTGTGTGTGTGTGTGTGTGTGTGTGTGTGTGTGTGTGTGTGTGTGTGTGTGTGTGTGTGTGTGTGTGTGTGTGTGTGTGTGAAAACTTCCTAACATCTCTGTGTGTGTGTGTGTGTGTGTGTGTGTGTGTGTGTGTGTGTGTGTGTGTGTGTGTGTGTGTGTGTGTGTGTGTGTGTGTGTGTGTTGTGTGTGTGTGTGTGTGTGTGTGTGTGTGTGTGTGTGTGTGTGTACTCTGTGTGTGTGTGTGTGTGTGTGTGTGTGTGTGTGTGTGTGTGTGTGTGTGTGTGTGTGTGTGTGTGTGTGTGTGTGTGTGTGTGTGTGTGTGTGTGTGTGTGTGTGTGTGTGTGTGTGTGTGTGTGTGTGTGTGTGTGTGTGTGTGTGTGTGTGTGTGTGTGTGTGTGTGTGTGTGTGTGTGTGTGTGTGTGTGTGTGTGTGTGTGTGTGTGTGTGTGTGTGTGTGTGTGTGTCAGCTCCTTCACTTTCTCACCCATCTTAACTTATTTTGTCCAACCACTTGGGCTGGACGGTAGCGCGTCATGCAGGTCGGCGTTCAATCCCAGACCCTCCAAGTTGTTGGGCACTATTCCCCCCCTTCCCTTTCCCATCCCACATCTTTATCCTGACCCCTTCCCAGTGCTATATAGTCGTAATAACTTGGCGCTTTCCCCTGATAGTTTTGTCTTATCGACATTTTCTTGCTATAGACCAGGGGTCTCCAAACTATGGCCCGCGGGCCACATCCGGCCCGCCACATAATTTCATCCGGCCCTCCAAACAAATCCCTGTGTGGTGGCCTTGAAAAAATAATTATCGTACGAAAGGCATCGCATCGAATGGAAGATAAAGTACTTTTTTGTGATAGCAAATGATAAAGCTTTATGCATAATATGTAGAGACAGTGTTGCTGTTCTGAAGGAATACAATATTCGTCGGCACTATGAATCTAAACATGGCTCAAGTTATTCTCACATCACAGGAGCAGAACGCACTAAAAAGTTTGAATCATTTCAGCACAGTCTGCATTCTCAACAAGCTGTTTTCAGTAAGAAAAAATCTGAAAATGAAAATTCAACTAGAGCCAGTTACAAAGTTGCCCATGTGTTGGCTAAAAAAGGAAAACCTTTCACTGATGGTAGTATCATAAAAGAGTGTATAGTGGAAGCAGCAGGAGAGGTATGTCCAGAAAAAGTAAACCTCTTCAAAATGATAAGTCTTGGGTCAAATACTGTTGCTCGTAGAATTGAAGATTTAGGAGGCGACATAATTCGGCAAATAAAGAAAAAAACAAAAAGATTGTTGGTATTCTCTTGCGTTGGATGAATCAACTGATGTGTGTGATACTTCTCAGCTCTTAGTATTCATTCGTGGTGTTGATAGTGAATTTAATGTGAGCCAAGAATTAGCATCAGTTCACAGCATGCACACCACAACAACTGGAGAGGACATTTTCAATGAAGTAAGTAAAACTATGACAGAATATAACCTGGAATGGAAACAAGTGCAGTGTGTGACAATTGATGGAGGAAAGAATATGTCTGGGACAAAGAAGGGTTTGGTTGGGCAAATTACAACAGTTTGAGGTTGGAGGATTCTCAAAACCCATTTTTCTGCATTGCCTTATCTATCAACAAGCATTGTGCCTAAAATATGTTAATATGTCTTGTGTCATGAAACCTGTTGTTTCTGTGGTTAATTTCATTAGATCTCATGCACTCAACCATCGCCAGTTCCGTGATTTCTTGAAAGAAATTGATGCGGAGTTTGTTAACTTGCCTTATTATACAGCAGTTAGATGGCTTAGTTGTGGAAAGGTTTTGCTGCATTTCTTTGAGCTCAGATTAGAAATTGATTTATTTCTCAGAGAAAAATAAACCTCAGCCATTATTATCAGAATGTGAATGGATTTGGAAATTGGCATTTTTTGCAGATATGACAGGTCATATGAATATGACAGGTCATATGAATATGACAGGTCATATGAATATGACAGGTCATATGAATAACTTGAATCTGAAATTGCAAGGCAAAACAAATTTGATCAGTGACTACTTTGTTCATGTCAAGGCATTCAGAGCAAAACTTGCGCTACTTGAAGGCCAGGTGAAGGTTAAGAATTTTGCTCATTTTCCATGTTGTGAAAAATTTCATGCAGAAAGTAAAGTTGAATTTCCTTTTTCATTTGCAAATGAAATAATTTCAGATTTGAAAAAAACAGTTTCAGAAGCGATTTGCTGACCTTGATGCCAAAGCAAATGAAATCAGGCTCTTTCATAATCCATTTGACTGCAATGCTGAAAATCTTCCAACTCAATTTCAAATGGAAATTATTGATCTCCAGGCAGATGACAGACTGAAAGATAAGTATAGAGAAGGAAATCTGATTGAGTTTTATAAATGCCTGCAGCCAGATCAGTTTCCAAATTTGATAAAGTTTGCTTGTAGTTTTGTGTCCATTTTTGGTTCAACATACTTGTGTGAACAAACTTTTTCCAAAATGAAGTATGTGAAATCTAACTATCGAGCAAATTTGTCTGATGATCACTTGAAATCAATTCTTACAATTGGCTCATCTAATCTGGAACCTGATTTTAATGAAATTTTGAAGTCAAAACGACAGTATCATTCGTCACACTAATTTGGTTGCATAAAACTAAAGGCAGGAATCTATTTAGTTTACCCTGATTTTTTCCAAAAAGATATGTTTTAATTTTTCCATGTTTATACTTTAATATTTGAGGAAATTAAATTACTGGCACTGATTTGTTTTTTGTTTTTTTTCATTTTTTATTCCTCCGGCCCGCATAAATATGGGAAATATATAATGTGGCGCTTACATTGACAAGTTTGGAGACCCCTGGTGTAGACAAAACACACGAGACTAGTTATGTTGTGTGGAGGGGTGGCATTATTGGCGAGTGTTGCTCATGTATTAGTTTATTCATCATGACCCCCGGGTACTTGTCTCGTAGTGTCAATAAATCATGGAGACAGGCAGCCAGGTTATACACCGACTGATTCACTACACAGATCACAATAGTGTGGTGTATCAAATGAACAAATACAAACACACAAGTGTGTGTATTGAAGTAAGGGGGAAGAGGCAGACTAGCAGGTTGACAGCGCCCGGATGCACGGGGGGGGGGGGGATGATCGTGGCGAGGGCAGCAACACTCCAGGTTGCAATTCTTTGACCATGTCGTGGCTCAGTTGACTAAGGCGCGTCAGGGATCATCCCGGGACGCAGGTTTGAACCCTCAGCACAGCCCTTGTGGATTGTTTTTGTTATAGATTCAGCTACTCGGAACAAGTTCCAAGTAGCACGGGCTATGGTGAGCCCGTAACTTACCTGGCACAGGAGCGGGGCAAGAAGCACGGGCTATGGTGAGCCCGTAACTTACCTGGCACAGGAGCGGGGCAAGAAGCACGGGCTATGGTGAGCCCGTAACTTACCTGGCACAGGAGCGGGGCAAGAAGCACGGGCTATGGTGAGCCCGTAGTGGACGGGAGATGTCTCCTGTCTGGTAGGGGCTTGTGGATTTGTTCAGACTGACTGATATAGAACAAGCCACCACGAGAGGCGGCACGGCCATGAGTAGCCCCTAGCCTAACACAGTACGTGTTAGGCTTATATCGAGGCCTTCAAGGGCCGTAACGCGGGTTCGAACCTGCGTCCGAGACCATCCCAGACGCTGCCTTCTCGGACGTAGGTTCGAACCGTCGTCACGGCCCTTGTGGATTTGTTCCTTTAGCTAAGCCAGTTAGTCATGAGGTAGTTCCGTAGTTCACCGCACTCATCACCAGTCATCACACTGTTACCGTGACGCCAAAACGTGCAACTGGTTCACCAGGCCCCGTACCCCGTCCCGTGGTTCACCCGGCCCCTGTACCCCGTCCCGCGGTTCACCAGGCCCTGTACCCCGTCCCGTGGTTCACCCGGCCCCTGTACCCCGTCCCGTGGTTCACCCGGCCCCTGTACCCCGTCCCGTGGTTCACCCGGACCCTGTACCCCGTCCCGTGGTTCACCAGGTCCTGTACCCCGTCCCGTGGTTCACCAGGCCCTGTACCCCGTCCCGTGGTTCACCAGGCCCTGTACCCCGTCCCGTGGTTCACCCGGCCCCTGTACCCCGTCCCGTGGTTCACCCGGCCCTGTACCCCGTCCCGCGGTTCACCAGGCCCTGTACCCCGTCCCGCGGTTCACCAGGCCCTGTACCCCGTCCCGTGGTTCACCCGGCCCCTGTACCCCGTCCCGTGGGTCACCGGCCCCTGTACCCCGTCCCGTGGGTCACCCGGCCCCTGTACCCCGTCCCGTGGTTCACCCGACCCTGTACCCCGTCCCGTGGTTCACCAGACCCTGTACCCCGTCCCGTGGTTCACCAGACCCTGTACCCCGTCCCGTGGTTCACCAGACCCTGTACCCCGTCCCGTGGTTCACCAGACCCTGTACCCCGTCCCGTGGTTCACCAGACCCTGTACCCCGTCCCGCGGTTCACCCGGACCCGTACCCCGTCCCGCGGTTCACCAGGCCCCGTACCCCGTCCCGCGGTTCACCAGGCCCCGTACCCCGTCCCGCGGTTCACCAGGCCCCGTACCCCGTCCCGCGGTTCACCAGGCCCCGTACCCCGTCCCGCGGTTCACCAGGCCCCGTCCCGTGGTTCACCAGACCCTGTACCCCGTCCCGTGGTTCACCAGGCCCTGTACCCCGTCCCGTGGTTCACCAGACCCTGTACCCCGTCCCGTGGTTCACCAGGCCCCTGTACCCCGTCCCGTGGTTCACCCGGACCCTGTACCCCGTCCCGTGGTTCACCAGACCCTGTACCCCGTCCCGTGGTTCACCAGGCCCTGTACCCCGTCCCGTGGTTCACCAGGCCCTGTACCCCGTCCCGT